GCTTGGGCTGACCACAACGCTGTGGTTATGGCTACCAAGGTTTGGGCAATGCCGTCGGCGACGCGCTCCACCCCCCCGTTCAGACTCAACCAACTTCACCTGATGGAGCCGAATCGCGTGAGCCTTTTCCAGCAACTGATGTGGCTCTTCCCGCACATCGACGGAGGCATGCACATCGATGACCACCTCGAGCTGCTGAACACCTACGTGCGCTGGGCAGGCCGCTTTGTCTTCGGTGACCCGAAGAGGCAGCCTCGGCAGATGTGGATCAGCGCTCAGGTGCGGGAGTTCATCCAGCACGTGGCCCCTCTACGTCGGTCGAGGCACGCAGCGCTCCTGCAGGAGCGTGCAGCCTTTCAGCGCATGTGTCTTGCAGACTGGCAGTCAGTGGCATGTTTAGGTGCCCGCACACGGTGTCGAGAGAAGCCTCGACCCTGGTTCTTTTACGGCCATGCAGTTGATCAGGACACTCTGATGCGTAGATATCGTTGGCAGGGCGCCAGAGCCCCTGCCACAATCTTTCGGTTGCAGTGGTGCGCCAAGCCCATCCTCGAGCGTGGCCGCGCTGCCTGTTTAGACTCAATGGCGTTGGCCGCCTCATCTGCTCCCAGTCAGCACGATCCAAGGCAGGCCTACGCGATTGCGAGAGCGCCGAGCGGCACTCGACATCGAGCCACACCGTGTATTTTCTCAAAAGACGTCTCGGTGGTGTCAGACCCCCCTGCTGTGCAACGTCGCTGGCTTGAGCATTTCACTGATGTCATCGGAGGCGTTCCCATCAGCGAGGCCGAGCTCCGCGAGCCTGAGCGCCCGCCGAGAAATGCCCCCTCAGCCCTGGATGTCGGTCCAGAGGCTACCTGCATAGCGTTCAAGGCTCTTGGCCGCAACAAGGGTGTTGGCTATGACCAGATCCCAGCAGAGCTTCTCCAGGCAGGTGGCGATGCGCTCGCCTGCAAGTTTGCGATGGTCAATCTGCGCGTGCTGCAGAACGGGTCATGGCCGAAGCAATGGCGTGGAGGCCGCATCCAGGAGGTGCACATAAAGAAAGGGGACCCCAAAGACTCAGGCAAGGGCCCGGCTGGGATGCTGAAGGCCCACCTAGACCCCACGTATGTCGACCGCATGCCAACTACACAGTTCGGCGCTGTTCCCGAGCGAGGGACAGATGTAGCCACGTTGCTCGTTCGTGCGGCCCTGGAGGTAGCACATTTGCGTGACTTCTCTGTAGTAGTGTTTTTTGTTGATCCGGTCAAAGCGTTTGACCGAGTGCTGCGCGATCTAGTGTTCGGATGGGGGCCACACCCTCCCCCCGGCCGTGCTGCTCGTTTGGCGCACCTGAAGAGGCTGGGCGTAGCTGATGGCGCAACCGACTGGATCCTCCAGTACCAAGATGAGCGCGGACACCTTTTTGCCCAGTGGAATGTCGACCCAGGAGTCGCGGACCTATGCCAGTCGCTGCATGCTGGCGCGCGGTTCGGAGTGTCGGGGGCGGAGAGTCGGGTGGCGAGTCGGACGGGGGGGAGACAAGGCTGTGAGCTTGACGCTCTCACGTTCAATGCAGTATACTCGATTGCTCTCGATTTGATGTCGTGGACTCTCGAGCGCGCAGATATCACTCTCCGTCTTCCTGTTCCTGAGTCCCCGTTTTGGGCTCCCCCCGAGGCCTCGGTGTATGGGCCTGAGACTGCTTCAGTAGTTGACGCGGTGTTTGTCGATGATGAATGCTTTGTACTGATGTCTGCGTCTGGGGCTGCCCTAGACAAGGCCATCGATGTTTTGCTCGAGCAGCTTTTTGGGGTCTTTGAGAGACTCCATCTTTCCATCAACTGTAAGCCTTGGAAAACGGAGGCCTTGTTTAAGTACCGTGGGCACCATTCTGTAAAGTTGCGTGAGGCCCGTCGGTGTTCTGATGGCAAGTTGCGTCTCCAGGTTCGAGCTCGCGGTTGATGTTGTAGAAAGCTATGCACATCTCGGCACGCACGCGTGTGTAGACGGGTCGTGCTTCAAGAATGCTTCTCATCGACGTGCGAGTGCGATGGCAGTGCATGCCCCGCTGTCCTCTAAGATCTCTGGTGCTCCGAGTGTGACAAGATCGCTCAAGCTTTGCTTCATGAACACGCTAGTCATGTCAAGATTGCTGTTTTCGGTCTCTGTTACTGTTCCTGCCCCGAATGCCCCGAAAAAACTGGACGGAGTGTAAATGGGATTTTTACGCCGTATCTTAGGCGACTCCAGATTTTCTACAGATGCTCAGTTCTCTGATCGCGAAGTGCGCGAACAGTTGCAGCAACCGTCCATTGATTGCCTGATCGGTCGATGCCGTCTGCTGCTTTGGGGGAGGCGTGTGCGAAATCGTCCTCGCACCCTCCTTGCCCTCCTCCACGTTCGAGTGAAACACAAGCCGCTCCCATGGATGCAGCGTTTGCACGAGGACGCAGCGCTGCTGAAGCGCGCCGCGATGCCCCCGGATTTCCCGCCCCCGCTTGAGGACCCGAGGAAGTGGGAAGGCTTGCTGCAGGATGAGAAGTCTTGGAGTGTGCTCGTCAGTCGCTTCGATTTTGTCGAATCGGCGTGTGACCCAGCCCCCCCTTCCGACCTCTTCCCCTGTCCATCCCAATGCGTGGATTTGCGAGCAGCGCCAGACCTCTTTTGCGTCTGAGCGTGCTTTGCGGAGCCACCGCCGTGCCAAGCACGGTGAGCGTTCTGTCCTCCGAGCCCTTGTCGGATCGTCGGCGTGCCCGTGCTGCATGACAGATTTCCAGCAGAGGCTCCGATTGTTGTCCCACCTTTCTGACTCACGCCGCCCAAGGTGTCGTGAGTGGGTCGTGGCCAACTGCCCTCCTCTTCCTGCCAGGGAAGTCTCCAGGCTAGATGCTGAAGATCAGCGGCTACGCCGAGATGCCCAACGTGCAGGGCGGTCCCACCACCTAGCCCGAGGCGCCGCCAGGAGAGCCACAGGGGAGGTGGTGGGTAGGGCGTCGCTTTAAACCCTGTTTAAAGCATACTGTTGTAACTGGCATAACTTGCGGCTATAATCCTCGGCCATTATATATATGTGTGTGTGTGTGTGTGTTTATTTATTCGTTTATATATATATATATATACATACATATATACATACATATATATATATATATAATGGGGAGGGGGTCATGGACCAGGGGGGGGCCTCACTTTGCCCAGTGGCTGTGGTCACCCCCCCGCCGGAGACGCCAGGACGCTCCCAGGACCCTCCAAAATGGCTCCAGGACGCCCTCAGGACAGCCCAAGAGAGGTCCGAAGCGGCTCGGGAGCACTCCAAGACGGTTAAAAAGTTGCCAAAGCGTCCCAGCAGGTCTCCGACAGCACTCCCGGGAGGGGCCCAAGAGGGAACATTCATTGATGTTTAATGTGTTTTTGAAGGGTTTCGGCGTTCTCCCCAGCTCGGCTTCCAGACGCTCCAAAACGGCCCAAGAGGCCCGAAAGATCGCTTCAAGACGAGCCAAGAGGCCCCCAAGAGACCACCGAGACAGCCCAGGAGGGCCCCCAAACGGCCCAGGAAGCTTCCAAGACGGCCCAAAAGAGCTCCCAGAACACTCCAAGAGGAGCCCCAGATGGGGAACACGAACTGACATGTCGAGCCCTCGCCCACCAGAAGCTCCCAAGAGGCCCCCAGGAGTCCGCGAGAGGCCTCGAGAGGCCCCCAGGAAGCTCCAAGAGGCCTCCAAAAGGCGCCGAAAGGTCCCCGCAAGGCTTCCAGACGCTGGTGATAATGACAATGATGATTATGCAGGGCGGCCTCAGGCCCACAACCTAAATCCCCAACACAGCTCACGCGGCATGCAAGACGCTGCGGAGATATCCTCGAGTTCGGCGGGGGAGCTTCGGAGACGACGGCGACGAAGATGATGACGATGATGACGACTATTATGAAGTTGACGACGACGATGCTGATGATGGTGATGATGGTGATGAGGAAGGGGATGATGATGATGATGATGATGATGATGATGATGATGGTGATGGTGATAATGATGATGATGTTGTCAATGGGAATGTTGTTGATGATGGTGATGGTGATCGCGATGTGAGTGATGGTGATGATGATGATGATGATGATGATGATGATGATGATGGTGGTGGTGATGCTGGCGATCATGATGAATATGACGGTGATGCCGTTGAGGATGGTGATGTTGATGATCATGATGATGATGTTGGTGATGGTCAGGATGATATCGCCGATGCTGATAATAATGGTGGCGATGATGTTTATGGTCCTTGTAATGCAGGAGTGGGCGGATGATAAAAATGATGACGATGATGATGCCGACAACGACGACGACGATCACGATGACGACGATAATGATGACGATGGTGATGATGAGGATGATTATGTTGATAATTCAGGTGACGATATTGACGATGATGACGACGATGGCGATGATGACAATGGTGATGACGATGTTGCTGCTGATGGTGGTGATGGTGACGATTGTGATGATGGTGATGGTCATGGTGATGATGACGATGCCGCTGACGATGACGCCGGATATGACGGTGATGAGGATGGCGATGATGACGATGACGATTATCTTAGCTAGAACTTGAGCGCGCGCGAAGCGCGCGCGATGGTTCTAGTATATATAATGTGTATATATACACAAGTGTCAGCCCCCTCTCTCTGACTCCCCCTCTATCTCTCATTATCTCTCTCTCTCTCTCTTTCTTTTTCTCCATTTCCCGTGCACATGTACAGTCAACGCGCATAGTAAGGACAAACGATTTTTTCAAGGGTACCCTTGGGTCCTTGCCTGTCTCGGCCTCTGCGGCCCGTCCCTAGCAATTTTCGCAGGCCAGTTTCTCAGGTTACCTGGGGGTTTGGCCGCCTGCCGCCCAGAATACTTCAACTTCGGCCTCCAAGGGTCTTGCGTCCTTACCACGCGTCCTTACTATACGTTTTCACTGTATAGCTGCGACGATAGATACACATGTGAACGGTCCACCACCCCCACCCGCAGGCGTGCCGCGACCTGGAGGCTGTGGCCGCCGCAACCTCCGACGAGAAGTTCTCCCTGCAGGAGGCGCTGGACGAGGCGCGCGAACACTTGGCGCAGGACCCCGCCCCCTCGCCCCCCCCCCCCCCCTGTGCAGAGCACACGTCCTATGCTTCATCGAAGCTACATCACATGCAGGACTTGTGTGTGTGTGTTCTCTCACGCCTCGAACTCTGTGCCTTTGCAACAAGTTCGCGCGCGGCCGTCTGCAATCTGCCAGTGCTCCAGACGAGCACGCCTCGAATTCTGCCAAGAGATCGCGCGCAGTCGCCTGCGATCTGTCATAATTCCACACGAGGAAGCCTTGCATAGTCTACAGAGGCCCGCCCTCACAGGAGGGCAAGCGCCAGCAAGGAGGGGGGCAGGAGGAAGAGGAGACGAGAAGGACGGGGTAGGAGGAGGACCTGGCCAGTGGGAGGAGGACCTCGCCGCCCGTCCCTCCCCCGCCGGAGGGGGGGCAGGAGGAGGAGGGAAGAAGGGGGGTCGGAGGTTCGAGCTTCGAGGTCTCAACCGTTTTCCCAGCCCCGGGATGCACGCGGGCAGCTGCGCCTCGCCGAGAGCGTTCCGGGGATGCACGCATCGCCCCAAACAGAAGCCAGAGATTCGAGTGACGACCCGAAAGCCTAGGGCTCAGGGGCAAGCAGGGAGGGAGGACGAGGGAGCAGAGGGGCAAGGATTTGTGTTTAGCATGTGCCGCTTCCCCCCGGGCCCTAGAACTCGCCTTCGCCGTGAGGCAAGAATTTCAATATGGACGGCTTGCGTTTTCTTTCTCCGTCGAATGGATGGTCTTGTCTCCGCCCTTCATTCCCACACACATAAGTTACACCACACACACACACACTCCTCCCCTCCTCCCCCCTCCCTCTTCCTTCCTGCATCCTACGTATGGCCCTCCATTGATAATCACTTGCGGGTGCCAAGGATATCAGACGGAATCTTGCGTGTGGCCTCGCCCATCCCCCTCTCATCCTTCCCCCTCTCCAACTTCCCAGGCGCCCGTCATCCTGCTCCTCCTCCTCCTCCTCCTGTTCCTGCTCCCGCTTCTTCTCCTGCTTCTGGTCCTCCTCGCTCTCCTGTTCCTCCTCCCCCTCCTCCTCTCATCGTGCCCCTCGCTGCCCAGCTCCCCCTGGCTCGGGGCCCCTTGGCGTTGTCCCACTTGGCGTTGATCTTCCTCCTGGGGCGCCCCCCGTCGGCCGCGTGGGCCCGCGCCGGCGGAGGCACGGCCCTCGCCGCCCCTCTCTGACCCCTCCCCGTGAGGGCCGACGTTGGCGACGACGCCGACGGACGACGACGCTGACGACGAAGGCGACGACGACGAATGCGACGGCGGCGACGACGGCGGCAACGACGAGGAGAAGCAGAGGGCAGTCGCCCTCGAGAAGGCCTTGGGCGACGCAACGCCTGGTGCAGGACCGAGCGCCCACGACCTGGAGGCCGTCGGGGCGGGGGGGGGAACAACGCCCCCTCGGTGCAGCGAGGAGGAGAGGTGAGGAGGGAAGGGGAGGGGAGAGGATGAGCAGGAGGAGGGGATGGGGATGGGGAGAGGGAGGGGGAGGGGAAGGGGGAGGGATGGAAGGAGGCAGAAGGAAGATGAAGAAGAGGAGGGAGCAGGAGGAGGAGGAGCAGGGAGCAGGAGGGTGGGAGGGACGAGGAGGAGGTTTGCCGAGATGTTCTGCGATAAACAGCGGTTCCCCCCAATATTGGGACACGATCGGAGGATCTCCGTGTGTTCTGAGAGGATGCAAGGAGAGGCGGGGGAGGATCAGAGTAAACCAGGTTGCGTCAACGACGCCCTCCCGACCCAAGTCCACACAGCCTTCCTTTTTCAATACAGGAAGCGTCATCTTGAAAGTCGAGCATCTTGTGGGCATGCCATTCAGGCAAGAGTTCCGCTTTGAAAAGGAGCGTGGCTGCATCTCTCTAGCCGGTGATCAAGAATATCAGAAATTAAAGCAAGGTTTCCAGCAAGAGCCTTGTTTTGAACAGGAATCGTCCCGCCCATCCGTGAAACTGGTGAAATATCTCGCATGTGTGGTCGTTCGGTTTCCCGAGCAGCACTTGCCTTTCGGGGTTCTTGCGCGTTTTACCAAAGCATTGGGTGGGCAACCGAGGTTTATGCCGGTGGCCGCCCCGTGGCCACCCCGTCGCCGCCCCGGGGCCGCCCCGTGGCCGCCCCGTGGCCGCCAGGCGCAGCGTGCATCGCAAGCCTTGCACCGCGGAGCTTGCGCCGCACGGCGTGCACCACGTAGAGTGCACTACGGAACTTGCACGGCGTAGCTCACACCACACAGATTTCATTACGCAGATCGCACCACTCAGATTGCGCCACATAGAGTGCTCTACATAGCCCAAAACCACATAGGCAGTGCGCCACATCACTTACACCACATAGGTCAGACCACATAAGATGCACCACGTAGATTGCGCCATGTACGCAGCTTGCACCTCACAGCCCACACCAGTCCGATCACACCTCATGAGTCACACTGCATAGCTTACATACACATCCACAGCGCAACCGTTCACTGATTGGAGACCACGCTGGCGCACAGTCGAGAAAGTCTCAAACGAGAGCTCCGTTTTCCCCAAATCATTGGGCTTGCCGCGCCACCTTGCTTTTCCCCAAACGAGAGCTCCGGTGGGTGGAGGGCCTGCGCCTGCCCGCCTTCCCCTTGTTCCTTGGTCTTGGTTCCTGGTTCCTTGGTCGTGGTTCCTTGCTGCCGTCCCCGGGTTCCTTGGTCTTGGTTCTTTGGTCTTGGTTTCTTGGTCTTTGGTCTTGGGTTCCTTGATCTTGGGCTCCCCTGGCTCTTTGGTCTTGGTTGATTGGTTCCTTGGTCGTGGGTTCCTTGGTTCCCTGTCCTTGATTCCTTGGTCTTGGTTCCTAGCTGCCTCTCCACGCATGCCATGCAATGCCCACCAATGCCACGCAACTCCGAGCAACGCCACGCAATGCCAAGCAGTCTTCCAGGCAATCTGCCAAGCAGTCTGCCAAGGAATGCCGAGCGATGCCATGCAACGCCAAGCAATGCCACGCAATGCCACGCCATGCGCCCATTTCAGTAGGAAGCTTTCCCCCGATAGGGGCTCGCGCCAGGCTCATGGGAAGGAGCCGCCCCCCCATCCGTACAGCTGCTGTGTGTGTGTGTTCAAGCTGCGAGCGCTCAACTTCGAGGGCGTCGCGAGCGAGAGCCCCACTTTGAAAAGGAGCAGCCCTGCATCGTTGCAGCTGCCGCAAGCGTTGTAAGACACACGCGCGCGGCGCCAAGGGGAGAAACGTGCCAGACTGTGTCAGTGACGGCGTTGCGCGTTTGGAGGCGAACGTGCACGGGTCCAGTGCGAGAGCCACTTTTCGAGAACCACCAGCCCTCCCCGCTACAAATCGTCAAGACTAAGGGGGTGGCGAGCAGGCGAGAGCCGAATTTTGAAAAATATGGGCCCTGCATCCTTGAAAGTAGTTGTTGAAGACGCAGGTGCGCGGCGCTATGGCGAGAACCGCTCTTTGAAAATCACCAGCCCTCCATCCTTGAGGCTGCTGAAAATGTGTCAAGACGAATGCGCGCAGCGCGAGAGCCCCATGTTGAAAACCACCGGCCCTACATCCTTGAATCATGCCGCAGCTCTTAGCCTCAGGACGAGGAAGCGCAAGGAAGTCTGCAGCGAAACGTACGGCCTGGCCTGCAGACACGTCTGGCGGTGCGACAGGGGAGAGTTATTTCCGAAACAGCGAATTCTGCGAGGGTTTTACCCATCGGTCGGAAGAAGTAGGCAGAAACATGAAGAAGGAAGGCGTTGAAAATTCATTGAGTTTCCGCCCGCCCCCTCAGAATAACGGAAAAGGTGAACCCACTCGATCATTGAAGTAGGAAGGCGCCCAAAGTAGATTGGAACCTGGGACTCGGAAAATATTCATTTTCAACGACCGAAGGGTCATTCTCCTACGAAGGGCGAGTGCAGATTCCAGATTGCCACACAGGTGCCGCCCGTGCCTGTGCCGTGCCGTTCTTAGTTTTACCAGTTCGAAACAGATCCCTATCCCTATGTTTGACATTACCTCACCTCGATGCCGATCTTAAGGATTCCCTCAGTTTCTTAGGGCCTATCCCTAAGATTGTCCTCGCTTTTTGCTCGCCCATCTTAGGGATAGGGATAAGTTTGAGGCTGGTTATAGTTTCTGGGATGCGAGCAGGTTGCCTGCCGCGCGCCGTGCCGTGCCGCTCCGTGCCGCGCCGAGTTTCCGGGGTACGAAGAAGTTGCCGCCCGGATGCCGTGCCGTGCCCGCGTGCCCTGCCGTGCCCAGTTCTGGGGTGCGGGAACGGTGCTGTGCAGTCGGGGCCCTGAAGAAGGAATCCTTTTCGTTCGGGAGGGGCTCCGTGTTCCTTAGTTGTTTTGCAGTGATCCCCTGGTTTTTCCTGAGGTTCTCCATGGGCAATCGAAGGTCAACTTATGGGAGAAAGGGGCCCCGTTCCTTATTTAGGGTTCCTTAGGTCAACGCCCCGACTGTACGTTGCCTGGTGGTCAGTCTTACCATGCAGCGTTGGTGCTTGCGGTCCCTGTGCCGGTGTCACTGGTACAGTCGGACCGAGGTACAAGATCGAGGTCGATTCCAGGAGGGTGCCCTAATATTAATCGTGCCTGTTGGATGTTCTTGTGCCTCCTGGGGAGGGTATCCTTGGATGTTCTGTTTGTTTTGACGACGGAGGGCCTCGTGATCTTGAAACATGGGTTTCTGGCCTAGGTCTGATTGTAAGGAAGAGGATGGGGGAGGAAGAAGGTGAGGCGTAAGGGGAGAAGGAGGAAGACGACGATGGCAGCGGCAGCCTCGGCATACCGCGAGGCCAGGGTGGTGGACATGCGCTGGTGGCTGCACCCAGGCCTACTTCAGGAGCCCCGGGGGGAAGACTGGCATGAGCGCGGGCTCATCGCCGATCCTCCTCGCAACGCCTTGGCACCGCTTCTTGCTCCTCCTCCTCCTCCTTTTCCGAGGCAAGACATAGAGAGCCACGGGTTCCGCAACTCCCTACAAAAACAGGATCAACTCAGATTGGAGCGGACCTGGACAACCCTGAGGATACGCGAAACGCCCGACGAAATGTGCTTGTTTTCGCCTCTGCTGAGCCTGCTCCAGATATTCTTGGCCCATGTGGGCTGCTTACCCAAACGCGGAGAAGAGAGCAAGGCAAGACGAGCAGACGAGAGCACACCACATCAGGAGCAACCAACGAGATCGATTCCCTCGTGGAGTCGAAAATGGACCAGGGCATGGGGGGCCTTGCCCTGGGCCCGAAAGCCCCTGGAAGCGACAATCGCCCTTGACACCAAATCCGTGGCCACAGGGTCTTCCACCAAAACAAGCTGGGACATGGGCGGTTTGCCTCTCTGCAGGGCGGGAGGGCGTGATGAATCGGGAAGCACGTTACCCACGCGCGCCACCCACTGCACCCAGGACTTCAACACCCGCAAGCGGGCCTGCAGTGCAGAGAGGCGAGGCTGCGGGAGACGGAAGGCCTGGGCCGCCCACTTGGCGTGGGCGTCAGCGGTGTCGATGCCGAACGTGACTCTGATGGCCACAGCCAACATCAACATCGGTGCGGGTCGAATGGACAGGCACTTTAACGAACGAGACCGACGGCGACGACACCCCGTCGAACCCCCAATCATCAAGCCAGTCCCAGACCTGTCGCCACAATATGAGTGAGTTCCTAACAAACGTGTGCATTCAAGTCTGCCGCGTGCAGTGACACCATCGAACACGTACATGGAGCCCGTGTGCACAACAATGGGCGGACATGCCTTTTTGTGGCAATGCAACAACGCCTGCAGCTCAGTTTAATTGATGGTCGGAAACACAGAAAACTGAGGGCCGCACAGGACAGCGGTCTTCTCGCAAAGCGTGGTGTGCCCAGCTGCAAGAGCTACCACCGACCATCCCGCGGCGGCCCAAGGTCCGAAATCACCTTCGAAGCACGAGCCATCTAGGAAAACGTCCCCAGAGAGCAGACCAGGATGCCCATGGACCCACAGGAACTCAGGAAGGTCGGGGTGGGATGGGCGCTCAGACAAGGAAAAAAAACGACACCGGCTCTTGACATCTCAGCGAGCAGCTGTGGGAGCCCACCCTGCTTCGCAGCGTCACCGAGCGGGGCGCACGACACATGCGGAGACTCGAGCGTGAGCGCGTGCTGCCTCCACATGCAGTGCCCATGCGTGAGCGTGCCAAGCGTGCGCGTGCCAACTGTCAAATATTCAAATATGCGATGTAGAACGGCTCGGCGGGGTTACTCGCCTGCCATTGCCTCGTCATTGGCCACTGCGCGCCAATGATACAAGATCTGACATACCCCTTCTTCGGCGGCAGCGCTTTAGAGAGCAAAACGAAGTGACAGGGGCAAGGAGCACACCGTTGGCGAACTCAGGTGCTTCAACGTGCTCCGCTATCTTCTTGCACTGCCAAAAATACACTGCGCGCAACACACGCTGCTTCACGGCAGAAGGGGCAGGTCTCACAAATATTCAGAACACGACCATCAGGAAATAGCCATGCCTCCAGAGACTTGGCCCTGACACCTGCTCTCCACAGAGCCGCCCAAAGAGTGGCGAAGGTTCCCGCAACTGAGCTCCATTGGTAAGTCAGGGGCCTGAAATGGGCACTCACTTGCTGCAGGCTCTTCTGGGGGACATGTTTGGGCAACTGATTCTCGTGGACGCACGAGAGGACAAACTTGGCGGGTAACCAGGTGGCCCAGATGATGGGATCCAGGTCCTGGCTGGGGGCAACCATCAGGGACAGAGTGCGGCTCTTACCTGCCAGCTTGTGGTCCTGCAACTTGCCTGCGAGGCTCCTCGGCGTCTTGAGCTCCCTCTCATTGACACCGGTGACCGCTGCGCCGTAGGAGGTGGCGCCTTCGAGCGCGGCTCGACTTATCTGCCCAAGTATTCTCCTACGTGGCCGTCCTGACTTCAGAGCGGACATGCGGCCGCGACGTTTTTTCGATGGCAAGATACCTGGACTTGGTGGCGCGCTTGGGCTGCGCCCTTCCAGCGGCAAGGCCGGCCCCGAGGTTGCGCTCCGTCGCCGCAGCAAGGACGCCAAGCTCACGAAGCCCACGAGCGATGCGTGCGCGAAGCGCTTTCGAGTCGCTGAGGACTGCTCTTGTCCACTGCGAGCCGCGTGTCCACTCTGGCCAGCTCGCCACTGAATAGCGAGGCAGCTTCACAGAGCTCGTCTCCAACGCGCTCCTCGCCACCGAAGCGTCGGAGGCCGAAATCGCCCGCGTTGACGGGCAACGCCACCGAGCGGCGCGCAGTTTGCTCTCTGCCCAGGGGCCCCAGGAGAAGTAGCTGAAGCAGAAGCGTAGCAAATGTACATCCAGGAACCACCGCCTCCTTCACGTGAATGACTTCGCCGCGCACCCCTCGGAGGTCCAAAATGCGCGGGGCTCGATAAACATCGATCAATGACCTAGGCTGTCACGAAGGAAAGCCTGAGACGATGGCAGCCTGCAGCAAATGATAGCGATGAACGAACTCGAACGCCCTTTTCAAATCGAGCAGGGTCGCACCACAATGGTGCTCCTGGATGGTGCAAATTTCGGACAAAGCACTGGATACCCATGCGCATTTCTCGGACGACCGCCCCTCGGTGGCCCAGAAGAAATGCCGAGCGTCGGTTCGCTGCCAGGCTGCAATCATCGGTCGCCGAAGGCGACGCTGCACTCGGCGCAGACCGTGAAGCCGCCCGACGGGGTCAAACACCTCCTGCCCCCTTCATAATAAATGCGATGCGGCTGCACATCTGCGGCCACTCGAGCCTCTGCTCGATGTGCGAGATGATCTTATGCAGCAGCTGGATCGCGCGATCTGGCAGGAAGAGGAAAATCTTGGGACTAACCCGATCGAAACTCATGATTGTCTTGACGGGGAACGCGCGAAGGACAGCTTTGAGTTCGGACATCGTGGGGGGCAGGGGGCCGATCTCAAAGGACATCGGGCCAGTCCAGAGGCTGTCTTCCATGGTGCATTGTCCACCATCCTTCCCACTCAGCCTGCAAACTGTCGACCTGCCCCCGGCAGCTGCAGGCCGCAGCGTGCAATGGTCCAGAGCTGCTGGCTGCCACTCAATTGACCGTTCTGAAAAAGCGCGCAGAGCAGATACGCCATTGGCCGAGCGCGTGTCGATCTACTCGTGCCACTGCCGCTCCACGTGGCTGGCTGACTGCTGGCGCTGGTGTCGGGCCTGCTCTTCAGCCCAACTCTTGAGGACTTCTATGATATCTGCGGGGACCTGCTCAATGGCGCCCAGGACAGTCGCCCACCTGACGTAGAGATCCTCATGAGGCAACGCGCGGGCCCTGGAGGGCTCGCGGAGCATGTTGAGGCTGGAGACCCACATGTGGAATTAGTCGGAGACCTGATATTGAGTCCTGCAGGGACCCAGAAGCGCCAAGTGCACCTGCTCCCACCACACCGCCAACACCGGTGAACGCGGGAACCTAGGAGGCCCAGGGCGCCGTGCAGATAGGAAACCGGGCTCGACGGGCATGATGCGCCAACAGTGCTTGTCAGACTCGTCCGAAGGCATTTGAAATGTCCGAACCCACTCGTTTTCAGCGGTCGAGATAAACGCATCCCAGTTCGCGCCGGTCGAGTCTGCGTGTGTGATCACTTGCGAGGCATGGCCCCAGCAGATGCTGCTGTCTGGCTCGTTATCGACGCCAGTGGGGATTGCAACGGGAAAGCGCCGAGGTACCTTTATCCTGCGCACCTGCGCGTCGCTGGGCGCTGCAGCAATGCGCAGGAGCACGGGCGAGTGGGGGGAAGTTTGGGATCTTGTCGAGGACCCTGGCGGACTGCTCACCCAGGAGGTTGGAAGAGACCACGAAGAAATCGATCGTGCGCCCAGCTGGCGTGCAGGCGCCAGTGCTGGGCGGAACGATGGTAGCGTCGAGCGCAGTGGCCCATCCTGAGGAGGCCAACCCCTTTGGCTTGATGTTCCAACCACCTCGTACGATGAAGGGGATGTGCGCTCGCTTCAGAACTGCTCCCAAGCGCCTTAAACGATTCCAGTGGACGCCGGCGAGATTGCCACAATTCTCGAGATAGGTGTTGCCCAAGCGAATACCACCTTCTACCCCTCCCCCCCCACATGGAGAACCGAACAGCGTCCAGGGAAAACCTCGAAGGGCTCGGAGCCCAGGAAGGTCCTGCACATGCGCTGTGGAACCAACATAAGCAATCCCCCAGAGGCACCCTCGTTTTCAGTTTACACCGCTTTCAAACAAAAGCTTGGCCGACCACCCATCACGACGAAGGGAGGCTCCCTGATAATCGGCGTTCACTAATCTGCGGGTCTCCTAAACGACGAGCGCAACAAAACCAGGAAACCCACTGAGGGCCCTCTCGATGCTGGAGTATTCGGAGATCTCGAGATTAGTGCGCGCTGCTGGTCAGCACGGCGGCCTCATCACTGCTAAATGGACGGCCTGCGCTCGCGCTCTGCCAAACGAGGAGAGCGAGAGCCATCGCGCCTGGCCTCAGGCGCGGAGGCGCTGGCCGCAGTCGCCACCACGCCGTCGATGATGTTCGCGACCTGCTCCTGCTGGACACCGTTCGCCGCGGCGACGTCCTTGGCCATGTCGGCGTCGCCCAGGGTAGCGAGCGCAGCCTGCTGCATATTGTCGGCGTCAGCCCACGAGGCATCGAAGCTGTCGTCGCCGCCGGGCATCTCCTCACACTCCCCCACAGGCAGCTCGCGACCGCCGTCATCAGGCGCTGGAGCAGCGCGGATGGGGGGGAGCAGACGCGGCACGTTGAGCTGCCCGCTGGCTCTCAGCCTGAGCCTTGGCTGTGAGCAGCATGTTGAACTGCGCGGCGGGCGGGGGTCGAGCGCGTCGAACCGTTGGAAGAGCAACTTCTCAGGCGTGTCCTCAGTGGCCGCCGCTTCCGACCTTGCACCCGCGATCTGAGTCCACGCCTGATGTGACTTCTCGGCCGCGAGTCTCTCCTGGTCGAGCAGCGACTTCTGCTGCAACCTGAGCTCGACCACCCGCTGGAGCTGCGTCTTGAGGATGTGCGCTGCCTTCTCGAGCATGGCGCCCAAAGCCCCCAACTTTGACTTGAGTTGCCCATGTTCCTCCTGAGCGGCTCGAGACACGGCGCGTGGGTCACCCGACTGTTGTGCACGCTCGTGCGCCACTTGAGCACGCTGCGCTGCCGTGAGCAGGGTACAAGCTGTGGCGTAGTGCTCTTCAGACATCGCCGCAAAGGCCTGCGCCTGCTGCTTTCCGATCGCCTTGGCACTGGATTGGGGGCGCGCCAGCAACCCTGGGGCCTCCTTTGCCACGTCGACCCCGAGCGGCACCAGCAGCACTAGCAGCGCGACCGTCAGAGGGCTGAACCTTCGGGAGCGGCTGCAAGCAGTGCATGCACCAGGTGAAGTGCAACTTGTTATTCTTGCAATGGGAGACGGGCACACGGAGGACATGACTGCGTTGGGAGAGCCGCGCCCGAGAGAAACGCACGTTTGGGGGCGATCGTGTAAAATATAAAGACCCCTGACCCGTTGGGAGGGGACTTTGGGCCAAAACGGCTACGGATACTCCTCCTCTTCTTCTTTCTCCTCCTCCTACTCCTCCTCCCCTTCCTTCTCACAGGGCTGTCCGTCTCCTGAGTGGGACAGCGACTCTTGGTTCCAAATTGGGCTTGGGACAGTTGAGCACGAGTGAAGCAGCACCCAGGCATGAGCGGCACGTTCTCACTCGACGCTGGAGCGATTCGACGAACGACCGCATGCCAAAGGACGCCCCCTGCAAGCCAGAACACTTTGACCACGGTGACAAATCTGTCATAGACGCAACAGTTTACACCGTTGGTTCTGAGTGTGGTGGGATTGGTGTAGGACTTGCCAGAAAGCGGACCCCAAAGCTTCAGCTCTTCGGTGTTTATCAACCTCCCCGCTGTGCGCCATCGGAAAGGAAGCCGTCTTTGCAATTTCTGGCGCGCATCAACGTATAGGTCAGCGTGGACCCCAAGCAGTGAGTTATTGCATTCTACCTGGTGTAAGATGGGTTGCAACGTGTGGGTTGCCATCGGCTGGAACAGCTTATCTGGTGCACTGTATGGATGGCCTGTGGGATCCAATCGAGGCTGTGCAATCTACGGGATGCATTATTTAATGTACAAGATATGTGGCTCAGGCTATGCGGGTCACCCTTTCGAGTGTAAGCTATTTCGTGGAGGCTACAAGGCGCAATTCGCTACATGTAACTGTTGCGCTAGCACAAATCAGCACCCGAGCATACATCCCACCCCCACACTCGCGTTTTTGGGCAAAACAGGAGAGGCCGTGAGCGCAGTCACATCTCGAAAATTATTAACGAATTTGCACCAGCGTCGAGACGCGCGGACCATTCTCGTGCAGATCCACGGTTCGGGCGGGAGTGATGATGATGAAGTCGGAAACGATACCGAAGAGGATGATGAGGATGATTAATGTAATTGTGGCGACGAGGATTACAAGAGCGACGATCACAACGGTGACGATGATGACGACGGTGGGAGGAACGAGCACAATGATAAAGCGGACGGTGGTGAGGATGATGCCCGGTGACTGGCGACACTCGATAGTGTTTGTTAAGACTTGTTGCGTGCGCAGAACATTTGACCTTTCCCAGTTGAGCAAGATTGGGTTGAAACCAGTCCAGAAATAATGGGGCTAGTAATGTATTTTGCATGCTCGCGCGGGGATGCGCTCTGGTGGCCCGCATGGTGTTACTTATCTGGGAAACCTTGACGAAACGCGCTTGTTGGATCAACTCATATGTCTTGTTTTGTCGTTCGGATGAACGGCTGTGCTGAATATCCGGATGATAGCCGTCAAGTCCAGCATCGGCGTGGCGTTAGTAGGCGTGGCGTTAGTGAGTAGCCGAATTTCGACCTATGTAGTGCAATCCATATCATGCAACGAATGGGTAGTACAGGCTACGTGGTGTTATCCTGGTGATGTGATGCAAGCTGTGTAGAGTCGAGCAATGTACGTCGTGCAACGTGTCATTGATGAAGTGCGAGCTATGTGGTGCAAGATCAGCGGCGCAATCTGATTGGTGCAACATGTGGATTGCAATATTTCTGCGCGTGCGGAACAGCGAGCCAGCGCACGAGGCGCCCGCAGGCTCCCACCAGGCGAACGTTCAGAAATGCCAGCGGTTGCACGGCGCCCGCGCGCGTCAACCGGGCCCAAGCCCGGAACGGCCAGCCAGCGCAAGGGGCGCCGTGGGCCGTCTTACGGGCGCCCACCAGACGAAAATCTGGAAATGCAGGCCAGCGGACGGGGCGCCCACGAGGCGCCCACGGTCGTTTACTGGGCGATAACCCAGAAATGCAAGCCAGCGGACGGGGCGGCGCCTACGAAACGCCCACGGGCACATACCGTGCGAAAGCCTTGAAATGCAAGCCAGCACGACGCGCCCATGAAGGTCCCCCAGCGCCCACCAGTTGAAACCGCGGAAAGGCCCACCACTCACTTTACATATAGGAACACCTCCCGTAGTACAAGTATCGTGTTGGGAATGTACGATGTGGAATAGCAGGTTCGGTAGGGATTGCCCCTTCACTCAATTCCGTACGTTCTGCAGCATCACGCTTACGACACCTTGCTTTCTAATAGGAGGTGGCCACGCACTCGGCTTAAGACGTGTGCTGTCATCACGGACCTTGTCCAACCCAAGCGTGATCCCAAGCATCAAACGACGGATGACCAAACAAGTTTGGAATGAAAATCGAGCTCCCAGCAACAGTGGCGATGCATATTGAGCATGTTGGGTTGTGTAGACCGACTGCACTACAACCAATTTTTTTGAGACGTGCAGAATTCGGGAAGTTCAGATTTGCTTGCCCCACAAACATGGCAAACCTGTCGCAAAGGTTGGAATCGTCTGAACCTTGGCCCCTCAGCCACAGGGACGACAAGACCTTGGATACATTCCTAATGATAATCATCGTTCAGCCGAGGACGAGTCAAAGCGCGATCGCCAGTTGGCGCTTCCATAGCTTACGCAAGAGCGTTCTGGCCATCCCCGACACATTCACTTTCGGAGGCCCGCGCGGATGTCTCGGATCGGCGCGGGAGCCCCCTGGCGGCGCCTTTGGCGCCGCCCCTGGCGCCGTCCGCGCGCTAGGGAGGGGGGTCCAGTGCCGATCCAAGAACTCCGCCGTAGCCGTAGCCGTCTCGCGTGCCTCTTGGGGACCTCTTGGGCCGTCTGAGGGCGATCTTGGGGGCCTGTCTGCTGGTCTTGGAGTGTCAGAAGCCCGAAGAGGCGAGAACGCTAAAACCAGTTAAGAAATCATAAGGTAAGTGAATGGTTTTGGCCTCCGGGGTTGACTGGCTCAAGCGGCCGCTGCCTCAGGCCAGGCGCCCGCCATGCCCGCAGGCGCAGCCGCGCGCCTGGTGGCCCTCGCGGGCGCCGCCCCCCGCGTGCTGGCGGGAGGCCCGTGCGCGGAGGACGCGGATTGCAGCCTGAACGGCGCGTGCGTCCAGGGCCGCTGTAGCTGCGACGCGCCGTGGGCTGGCGACGGCTGCCAGGTCATGCGCCTCTCCCCCGCCAGGGCGGCGCAGGGCTACGCCATGCAGCCAGGCCTCACCAGCTGGGGCGGCGGCATTGTCGCCGACGGGCACGAGTTCCACCTCTTTGTTTGCGTGATGACGAGGGGCTGCCCGCTGTCGGCCTGGAGGGAGAACTCGCGCATCGACCACGCGGTGGCGGACGACCCCATGGGGCCCTACGTGTTCCGCGACGTCGCCGTGCCGACGTGGAGTCACAACCCCGCCCCCGTCCGCCTCCCGGACGGAACGTTCGCACTCTTCCACATCGGCGAGGGTTCGGGGGCGCCTGACGGAGGCAGGTGCTGTGGTACCGCGGAGTGCGCCGCGAGACCTGGCGAGGAGGAGCGAAGGGTCTTCCAGATCGACCGCTACGAAGAGCAGTGGCCAGAGCGGGCGTGGGAAGGCTTCCTGCGATTCGCGGTGGCGCATGGCATCTCCTTGGATGAGTGGGACGTGGTTTCGCTGGACAAGGACGGCAGGGCCGTGCAGGGGCCGGAGACGGTCGCGCCGGAGCAGTTTCCGCTCAGCCTGGTGGCCACCAGGAGAGTGCGGAGTGGCTCCACCATCCACGTCTCGTCCTCGCTGGGGGGACCGTGGCGACCCCTGGTCCCGAACACCCTGGGGGCCTGCAACAACCCGGCGCCGTGCGTGCACCGCAACGGGAGCATCTTCGTGGTCTGCGACGGCGTCCTGAAGCGCGCCGAGCAGATCGCGGGCCCTTGGAGCGCCGTCTGCTCGATCCAGCTCAGCGGCGGTCCCGCGGATCAGTACGAGGATCCCTACCTGTACATCGACGCGCGCGGGTTCCACCTCCTGTACCACGCGTACAGTTTGGACTCCAGAGAGGAGTGCCACGCCGCGACGGTGTCCGCCCACGCGTTCAGCCCGGACGGCCTCTCGTGGCGGGTGCACCCCGATCAGCCCTTCGCGGCGGTGGTGGAGCTCGACGGCCCTGGGGCGCTGGCCGTCTCGACCCGGGAGCGCCCGCACCTCCTCTTCGACGCGCAGGGGCACATGACTCACCTGGTCAGCGCCGTGTGCCACGCAGCGGAGTGCCCAAACGACGCGCCGTGCGTCAATTGCAAGTATTCCAACTGGGACTACACGCTGGTGCAGCCCGTCGCCCGGCCCCCGCCCGCGCCGCGCCTCCCCGGGGAGGCCGCCACCGACCCCAACCGCCTCACCGATGGCGGCCGCGCCGGCGCGTCCTGCGCGCTCGTGCGGGGGCTGGCGGCGCACGCGGGCACCCTGGCCGTGGCCTGAGGCCGCGCGGCAAGAGGAGCACCGCCAGCGGTCACGGCACCCCGCCGCGGAGGCGCGCCCTCTGGAGCAGGGCGTCGCGCGGACGGACGCCCGCACTGTGGCCACCCCAATGATGTTGGGAGGCGCGTTTCTTCGAGGACCGACTTCCGCCTTCACTACCGACGCCATCGCCCTAGACGAGGCTGTCCAGGCGGTGATGGCCATCACTATTGCCATCATCAACTGGCCGCCATCACCATGACTCAGGCCCAGCGAAAAGGGAGAATGCAGGGCGGGCGGCCGCGAGGCAGCGTGCTGCCGTGAGCGGCGCTGTGCTGCCCGCGGCCCGACGCAGGCCGTGCTGCACAGGCCCGTGCCGTGCTGCGCAGGCGCTGCTGCCTGCGGGGCGGGCGCGGCTTTTGCACGGGATGCGCGCTGGCTGGCCGAGGCCCGACCTGGCGCCCAGAAGGAGGATCCACGCCTCCAGTCTCCCTGCCCATCGGCGCGGCCGCGACCACCCCGAGGGCTGGTCGATCTGGACGTGGGGCTCCTGGCCAGCTTCGCGAGCCACGCCTCGCCAGCGGCTCCAGTGTCGCAGGTGCAGGCGAGGACGACCACTGAAGGCGGAGGCGCCGGTGCTGGCGGCCGTGCGCACGAGCGGGCTGGTCGTGGCCGGCCGCGGAAGTACGTAGCGGCCGCCGCGGCGCGGCGGCTGCGCGCCGCCGTCCGAGTCATGGAGCGCCGCTCGGGCGCGCTGGGCCACGCCGCGGTGGGGCGAGCGCTGCAGAACAGCCGTGTCGCTGCGCGGCCCCGACGGTGCCCCAGGGAGCGCTCGGCGAGAAGCGAAGTGGCGTCACAGCCGCTTCGCATGCAGAAGGCCCCTGGGCTCAAATCCTATACTAGGCTCTGGCTCCAAGAGTTGCCGCACGGTGGGGCGCAGCTTCAGTGAGTTTGTCGTTCTGCAGCCCCTGTATGCGCTTGCGCCGCTGACTGCAAACAGGTCTACGATTCTTCTCGCTACAGGATTTGATCACGCATGCCAGGCGGTTGTGCGAGGACCCTTGGATCTCGGGCAGCCCTCCTAACACCACTAGGCAGGAGCGGCGTTCCATGCGGGCCCTCCAGGCGCCGTCGATTTCAGCAGCTTGCACAGTGTACGCATCTGACGACGGCAAGGTGCAACCGGCTCACGAAAATCGTCATGCGGTTGCGTCAAGTATATCGCGAAGACACCTGGGAGGTATACGCTACCTGTGAGGTATTTCTGGGCGACGCCACATACAACGCTTCAACATATGAGGGGATTATTTGGGAGCTCAGGCACACCTTGAATAACCCGACCTCCTGTGTACGTTTCCACGTTGACTCTCTGCTGGTTGCCCGGCAGCTGAACCTGGCATGGAGAAGATGGCCCCCGATCTGCGGCCACTGTTTATGCCTCTGCGATTCACGCTCGGGGCGGACACTGTTGAAATCCAGCATAGTTATGGAGAGTTCTATGCCGTCGCCGATGGCATTTGCAATTCCATGCTTGATATAGCTGCGGCAGACCGCACCCCTAAAGAGCACGAGAAAATCGTCGCTCTCAACTGGGAGTCCTTTGTTGCTCCTGCCCCGAAGTGGCAACGCTCTGCCCCCCCCAGTAGGCCCCCCCCCCTCGTGTGGTGTCGCCCTCCTTTTGACGCTCGGCAGGTTCGTCCACTGGTCCCCGCTGCTTCCTCTCTGTTGCCCCCTCACCTGCGGGCGCTAACCTGCGCCGCTGTGCCCGCGCCTGTCGGCGCCGCTCGCTGTCTGCATGCTTACGACTTTACCATGACACCAGAGTCAGCACGCTTCACCAACCCCGCCTGGCCAGTTCATCGCACAAGTCTCGCCAAAGCTCTGACGCGTGGCCTGACAGGAGAGCGGGCTGCAGGACAACCCGTAGGTACACAATTCTGGAAGTTGTATCTTTCGATTCGGTTCGCATCTTGCTACCGAGCTTTTTCACCATGGCTGTAGTGGAAAAGGAAACACGAAAACGCTGGCCTCCGAAAGTGTATGTTAATGCCATTGGTCAGAGCGTGAATTACCTACCCCGCTTTTGCTTCCAGGCAAAACCAAGTCATACCACGCGCCTCCTCGTCAAGCGGCCTGACCAGTACAGGCCGTAGTTTGGCATCGCTTGGTATCTCTTGGAAGCGAGGGTGGTCAAAAGCGAGGTAGGTTTGTTTTCCCCCTGATTGGGTGCTCCTCTGGGAGCAGAGGGGGGCGGCGAGCGCGCGCTCTGTGCCGCTGCCCCTTCCTGCCAGGAAGTCGGCGCAGGGCTGGACGAGCCCTTCCGGTCCGCCAGCAGGCTCGCCGAGCTGCTGCAGCGGGCGGGCAGGTGCCGGGAGGCCCCAAAAGTGCACGGCGAGAGCGCGGCACTGTGCGAATTTGGGATTCGCAGAAGGCATCTATACACCACCACCGTGCCAAGGCAGGGCCATCCTGGGCCCCAGGATGATGTGTACGCCCTCCTGGCCGAGGCCAAGAGGGTCTGTACACCATCCTGGGGCCCAGGATGGCCCTGGCCTGGCACGGTGGTGGTGTATAGATGCCTTCGTCGGATTGGGAGAGGGCGATGTTCTCAGCGTGGTGGGCGCTGCGGAAAGGGCCTCGCCCTCGAGGATGAGGGGCATCGGCAGCTCTTCCTCGGCGGAGGGCGGCGGAAGCAGAGTGAGGCCGCCTCCGCCGGCGGAAGCCGGCGGAAGTAAACATCTGCTTGCCAAGAGATGGCAAGTATTTGTTGGTTCAGGGATTCCAGAACCCGCCGTGTGGCCCGTGGATTTCTCGATCCCTTCCGGGGTACCAGTTTATTCACGTGGATCGCTATTCGATGGTCCTGGAGCCCGAAAACGGCCTCCATGGGCCGACGCTGAGGAAACAACACGTCGGCATTGTAAAGAGCACGGCGCAGGAGGTCTTGAGTGATGAGACTCGGGCGGTGTTCTGAGGATGTCCCGATGGCAGGGGGTCTTTCCCCAGACCCACACACAGTCATTCGTCTGGTGGCAGGAGGCCCGTTGAGATGTCCGGACCTTGCACGTCACTGGACCATCTGCCCTGTTCCAGGAAGTGTCTCGTTGAGGAGGCGAACGGCTGACCTCCCCCATCGGGAGAGGGCCCACGGAGGTCAGAAGAAGTAGGTCGACGTGGAGGTCTGGCTGGTGGAAGTGTGGCGGAAGGCACAAGAAGTGGGAATCGGTAGGCCCACATACAATCACAATGATGAAGAAAATGTCAGAGTCTTTAGGGAAAGAGCTCCTTAGGTTTCACGTCTTTCCACCCCCCTGTAACGGCGAATGGCCCTTCCCAGGCCTCGGGACCGCCAGAAAAAACGATTCGAGACGAAGTTCCAGCCTCATGGAGGATGGTGGAGGTTCATCCTCAGGGTATCAGAGTACAGATACGACAATGCATGGGACAATTCTTGGCCAGACCGAGAAGTGAGCCGAGCGGGAGAGGGGAGCATATAATTCCCGACCTAGGCTCTGCCTAGAGGGTTCTTACTCTCTTTCTTAAAGGGGCCGGGCAGTGCACACCGCCCCGGGCGGTTCCCCCAGTATCCGCCCCGCGGTTCCCCCAGTTACGTCTCCTTAGCTTAGCGTTGCTTATCTCATCTTAGCTTCGCTTAATTCATCTTAGTCTAGCTTAGCTTCATCTTAGCTCAGGTTTATCTTAGCTTAGCTTACCTTCATCTCAGCTTCGCTGAGCTTTAGCATAGCATAGCACATCATAGCATAGCATAGCGTAGCATAGCATAGCGCAGCATAGCATAGCGCAGCACAGCATTAGCATGGGTGTAATTGCCTACCTAGGCTCTGCCTAGAGGGTTAGCTTAGCTTAGCTTAGCATATCGCAGCGCTGCATTAGCATAGCATAGCACAGCATAACATAGCCAAGCATCGCATATCATAGCATAGCATAGCGCAGCAGAGCAGAGCAGAGCATAGCATAGCATAGCATAGCGCAGCTTAGCATAGCATAGCATAGCATAGCGCAGCATAGCACAGCGCAACATGGCATATCATAGCTTAGCATATCATATCATATGATATCATAGCGCAGCATAGCGTAGCATAGCATGGTATGGCATAACACAGCATAGCATAGCAACTATTGCTGCTTTCCTAGGGGCTCCAACTTCTAGGTAGGGTCGCGCTGGGGTAATTAAGATACTAGAGCAAGCAGCCCCCCCAGCAACAGTTTGGGGTCACGGGCCTCCCGTCCCTCCTCCCTCTCCTCCTTTTGAGTATTCGTGTCGTCGTCTCCTCCCCCCTTGCTTTGGAGCACTGCTAAGTCCGCGCGTCCTCTCCTCTAGGGCACCCGGAAGGGCCAGCAGCAGCTCCCCCCGCACTGACCCGCAGGGACTCGTCAACGTAAGGTAGCGAGCCTCTCTTACAGGCCACCTCTGAGCCTCGGAGCTTAGCCCTTGAGCAACGTGGTATGCCCCCTGCCGGACCTAGCGAGAAGGCAGGGCTTTTGCACAACCAATCGCAGGGGATGTTCGCAGAAGTGCGTAAGACACTTGCGTCGGTGTCTTGACGTGGCACCCCCTTATGCGGATGTCCTTGTCCTTGTCCTCCTTCTCCTCCTCCTCCTGTCGTGCGCGTGCCTCCTCCTCCTCTTCCTCCTCCTCCTCTTCTTTCTCCTCCTCCTCCTCCTCCTCCACCTCCGCCTCCATAGTGGTTGAGGTTTCGTGGAGGGAGGAAGGAGGCGGGAGGGAGAAGCTCGAGGCGGATCCGGCCGTGGCAGGTCCGTCTACCCTCGGGCCCGCGCCCGCCTGGAGGCGCCGGGGCCCGGGGCCCGCTGCCCTCGGGGCCCCACTGCCTCACGGCAGACCGAGCGCCGCCGAGGCCTCGGCACACTCGCTTCGGCGCCCTTCAGGAGGGGAGGAGGAGGAGGAGGAGGAGGAGGAGGAGGAGGAGGAGGAGGAGGAGGAGGAGGAGGGGAGGGCCCTGGTTTTTCGGCCACGGCTGGGGCCCGGGAGGGGCCAGGACCCTTGGCGCAAGAGTGGCCCTTCGCCCGAGTGGCCTTGGGGTGCGGGCCCGCCAGAGGAGAGCCAGGCCCCCACCTCCTGCATCGCGGGCTGGCGCGCACGGACTTTGACCCCCCCCCCCTCCACTGCCCCCAGAGGCCGCACACCAGAGGTCCTTCTTGCCCAGAGGTCCCTCCTGCGCGCAGCCGGCGCCCGCGTCGCGCCCCACGCCTTCGCCTTCGCCCCCTCCGAACGCCGCCAAAGTCGGGAATCGACTCCCGCGTGCAGTTCAGTACTAAGCTAGGTCCGTAGGACTTCTGTCGGCGGCGAGCGAGGGGGGGAGTGCGAAGGGGCGGGCCTTCTCAGAAGGCCCGGAAGTCCCCAAGCCTTCCGAGAAGTTCTCAAAGCCTTCCCCGATGACGCAGAAAATTTTTCAGAAGGCGCGAGGGCTTCTGAGAAGTCCCGCCTCCTTCTCATCTCCCCCCCTCGCTCGTCGCCGATTCTGGAGTTGGAAGCCTGGCCGCCCGAAAGTTTTTGGGCACGTTGGAGCTACACTCTCTCGGGGTGTGCGGCTCTACTGCCGCGGGCCCGACGGAGAGCCGCTCTGGGCGCACCCCTCCGCTGGCCTCCGCGGGGCCCTCCGCCCGCCTCCACCCCGAGGCGCCAAGAACACCCGCACCGAGTAGTCAGCTCGATCCTCCTCCGTGTGCGGAATCACGCAGGCCGACAGAACAGACCCAATGGAGGCGCTGGAGACGGGGTCATTGCAATTGCCAGCCTCCACCCCGAGGCACCAAGAACACCCACACCGAACAGTCAGCTCGATCCTCCTCCGTGGAACAGTCCCGATGGGGGCGCTGAAGACGGTGTCACTGCAAATGAGGGCACGGGGAACGCCGATTTCCTCGCGTGGCGATGCCCCCGTTTGGGTGGCCTGGGCTCCGTAGACGGGGGCACGGCCAACAGGGGCATCTGGAGAAGCCAAAGCCCCTGTTTCGTATGCCCCCAGTTCGGGGGCCCTGAACCCCAGAGCCTTCCGTCGTGACCCTCTCGGCGCGAGAAGGTCCGGGCCCGGGGGTCAAACGACCACCCGCGGACCTGTTCTGGGGTGCGTTCTGACCAGGATTTCGAGGCGGGTCCAGCCGTGGCGGCGAGAAGCCTCCCTGGGGCCCAGAGGAGGCGAGAAACGTCAAACTTGCTCGAACTTCAACCTCTCTCCCCTCCTCCCCCCTCCTTCTCCCCCCCCTCCCCGTTTCCTCCCTCCTCCCCTTCCCCTCATTTCCCCTCCTCCCCCTCCTGCTCCCCCTCCTCCTCCCCCTCCTGCCTTCTACCTCCACAATTATTCCATAAGAATACTACTCTCCTCCTTCCCCGGATGACGGGTTGGGCGTGTTCGCCCCCCCCCCCCCGCGCATCGTTTTTTAACACGCAGGATTCCCCGGAGTTGGGTCTTCGCTTGCATTTTTTCAAAATGCAGGATTGCAAACAAAAAAAACCTTGTTTGTTTTGCAATCCTTGGTTTTTTTCCAATCCTTGTTTTTTTTGCAATCCTTGGTTTTTTTTTGCAATCTCTCGCTGAGGCGCCGGCCTCATTTTCGGGCCCCGCTCGTTCCGAATCGTGCTCCCGCTGCAGCGCTGGCCTCATTTCCGTGCTTCCGCGCGTTCCGGATCGTGCTCCCGCTGCAGCGCTGGCCTCGTTTCCGTGCTTCCGCTCGTTCCGGATCGTGCTCCCGCTGCAGCGCTGGCCTCATTTCCGCGCTTCCGCTCGTTCCGAATCGTGTTCCCGCTGCAGCGCTGGCGTCATTTCCCGTGCCATGCCACGGCATGCAATGCAATGCTAGGTTGCGTTCCGCTGCGCGATGCCACGCCTTCAGCTGAAGCTGTGATATGCAGTGGTTCAGTGCCACTTCGTGCTCTGCCATGCTACGCTTTGATCTTCAACGCCATGCTGTGCAATATTATGTTCGGGGCCGCTGTGCGATGCCATGCTTTGCGTTGCAAAGCTTTGCGATGCAATTCTTCACTACGCCACGCCACGCCATGCTGTGACATACTACGCTTTGCGGTGCTCTTCTACGCCATGCCACGCCGTGCTCTACAATGCATCGCGTACCCATTCGGGATCATTGCCCTGCTCGACATCCGACTGTGCGAGTAGAGAGGGGATCTACGCCATGGTAAGGGATGGGTGGGAGGGGTCGGATGTCAGATATGACGCGAGCGCACCTAGCTTGCCCTCAACCTCTCCCCTCCTCCCCCTTCTCCACTCTGTCGGAAGTCCGCGTGGATTTCTTGGACCGGCGCTTGACCCCCATCCCTGGCGCGCGGAGCCCGCCAGGGGCGGCATCGGAGGCGCCGCCAAGGGGGTCCAGCGCCGATCCATGAAATCCGCGCGGACCTGCGAACGTTGATATTTATTCGGGGTGTTGTGTCTCCATCCTCCTCTGTCCTCTTCATCATCCTCCTCCCCGTCCTCCTCCTCCTCCTCCTCCTCCTCCGCCTCCACATCCTCCTCCTCCTCCGCCTCCTGCTCCTCCTCCTCTTCCTCCTCCTCCTCCCCCTCCTCCTCCTCCTCCTCCTCCTCCTCCTCCTCCTCCTCCTCCTTCCGTCGCCACCCCGGCGGCGATTCTGAATGCGCGGAGGCCACCTCTTCATGCAAAGCGCGGTCCTGGCAGCCTTCATCATCACAGGTGCGGTGCGCTTCTTCATGCCTGTCTCAACCATCGCGCTGAACAAGCCCATATTTCGTCCTCGCGGAGTTCCTTTCCTCGACGCGTTCAATCGGCGAGCTGAGCGAGCTCAGGCGCAGGGCTACCTCCAGAGCCAGTCATGCGGCCACCAGTTCATCGCCGTGCTCGCAGCGATTTCCTCCGAGGCCAAGGTTCTCGTTCAAGCGACAGCCCGCACGCGCCACCTCGAGCACGAGACGGGCGTGGACCGCAGGAACGGCTCCGATCTGCACCGCACCGTCCTCGCCCAAGGACTCGTGCCGCAGTCCGTCGCCGACGAATTCATGCAGTGGAACGAAACTGGCGACACCGCGCGGCACAAGAAGTGGTTTCAGACCGACAAGAAGCAGGCACGCAAGGCATGGGCCGACTCCATCGACGAGATTTTGTCTAAGGTCAACGATGTCGTGCCCCGGGTCGACGCCATGAGGCTGGGAAGCCATTCTAGACGTGCCGGGTCCTGCGGCCCGTCTGGCTCAGACCCAGCGCCGTCCACTGACATGGCCCTCGACAGCATCGTCCAGCTCATCGAGCAGCGGATCCTTGACAAGCTAGACGCCAAGTTCCACGCGGGTTTCGCGTTGCTGTCGTACTCCTACACCAAGCAGCTGCCCGCCCTCTTCACCCGCGCGATTCAGCCTGTCACGGAGACCCTCCAAAGTCAGGTCGCCAAGGAGGTCAACAATATGCGCTCCGAGACTGCGGCCTCGTACAACACGCGCATGGTGCCCACCAAGATATGCCATGCTGCTGATGAAGCTCACGCAGCTGCAGTTGCAGCTCGCCGAGTTGTAGAGGAAGCTCGGTGCCGCTTGCACGCTCCTGTGGAGGCGGGGATGAAGCCCGCCAAGTTGCAGCTGCAGGGCGACGACATGCGCGGCGGGATCGTAGACACGGTTGACCAGCGGTTGCAGGACATCGATCGCGACACCGACGAAATGCAGCAGCATATCGACTTGCCCGAGCAGCACGTCCAGCACTTGCAAGGCCACGAGCAGTACTTCGACAACCGCGATGGCTCTGGCCACTTCGACAGCTACTTCGGCACCCTCCTGAAGCACATCAGGCACGACGACTGTTGCAACGCCTTCGCGAGGATCCTGAACCCGCCTGCCGTGCCCCTTTTATTGGTGGCTGGCACGCTCGCGATTGCCGTCCACCTGCATCAGGTACCCGTGGTTTGGACTCCCTCCACTCGCCCAAGCCGTTGCTACCGCAATCGCTCGCCTTTGACTCCCCGCTGCACACCGCGTCTGACGAGAAGCCGCCGTCGATCGAGTCCGACGAGCTGCAGCAGCAGATCGGGCACGCCGGGCCGACCCATGGAAGTCACGACGCCCCCGGTCTGTTTGGCAGCAACTTCGACGACCTCTTCGCGCGCATCCAGCGCGCGGACTGCTGCGACGGCCTCGCGAAGGTTCTGGACCCCCTCGGCCTGTCCATGCCGCCCCCCGGGCTTTTCGAGAAGACGCAGCAAACCGCGGCCGCCGCCGTCCCGATGCGTTCCGAGCCCGACGCGCTACAAACGTCGCATGCTTCTACCTTACTTTGGCCAACTCGCTCTTCTCGCCGTTCAAGAAACGCACGGATGCATCGGACCTCGCTCCCCTGGCCAAATCGACCCAGCACCCGTGCGAGCCGTTCCGCTCGCCCGCGATTGACAGCGACGCGCCCGTCTCCAACGGTGGCGGCGTCGGCTTCCTCGCCCCTCGCGACGAGAGAGAGCTCCAGCTTCCGCCTGAACAACGGCCTCTCGAGGTCGTCATCCCTGGCCGCGCCGCTTGGTCGCGCGTCGCGGATGCCCGCCTCCAGTGTGAAGTCACCATCCTCAACATCCACAACTACGGCCTCACGCCTGCTGGCCGCATTCACCTCCGCGGCCAACGGCGCGCACTTCGACGGCGTGCTGACGAACAGCCGCAACATCACCTCTTCATGGTCGCGGGTGACTTCAATTTTTCCGGCCCCCCCCCGGAGCCCCTCAGCGCCCTGTCGACTCCGACCCCACTGCCGCGCAGAGATGCCAGTGCCAACTTGTCTTCTGGCGCTCGCTGCTTCGCGACATGATTGAAATCACCTCCACGTCTACGACTCACAGAGCCGTAGGCAACATGGGTGGATCGACGATCGACCGCTGCTTCATCAACCTTCCGAGCCGCCCTATGCCTCTCATGGAGACCATGTACATCGCCGACGACGCCCCCCCTTGTGAACGCCAGGGGCCCGATCGGCGACCACGAGATCGTGCACCTCCGCATCCGCCTCCGCAAGCCCAAGCCAGCCACAGAGCGTGGCATACCCGCCTGCATCTTCAACACCGATCATTACAAGCAGCACATCAAAAAGATCTTCGCCACCATCGACGTGACGCTGCTCACCCCGATTGCTAGATAGCGCGCTCTCAAGGCTGCGATGCAAGTCGCCGCTGCCCGCGCACGAGACACGCCCGCCAAGATTCCCATTGCCGAGCTGAAGCCCATGGCTGCAAGCCCCTCCAAGGAGACCCGCGCCATGACGTTGCGCAGCATTTCCCGCGCAGTCTGGCACCAGAACATCCCTCTCGCGAAGACGCTGATCGAGAACACCGAGATCGGGCACCTACACTTGAAGATCGCCGGCAACACGGCCAGCATCAACGACATGGCACTGTTCGCCGCGACCGCGGGCGCCACGCGCGCCAGCCTCAGCGACGAGCGCAAAGCAATCTCAGCTGCCCGCTCGCGAGCTGCCTTTGCCGCCAACAACGCCCCCTTCGGCCAGAAGTGGCGTCGGTGTGCCAAGCGAGAATTCTACCGCGGCGATCCCTGCAAACCGTTTTCCAAGCTCCTAGTGTTGACTAACGTCAAGATCATCGTCGGCAGCTCGTCCGACGTCGCGACAGACCCCGCCGCCGTGCACCGGGCCATCGCGCGTCATTGGGCCCCCGCGTTCGCCGTTAATCATGTGGACGAGACGCGTCTCACCGACTACCTCCCTCGGCGCCAGCGAGCAGACCTATCACTCCCCGATGCGCAAGATCTTCAGACAGCAGTACGCATCGCTGGGGATTCTGCCCCTGGCCCTGACGGTCTTCCATACCGAGCGTGGACCCGCGCTCCCGACAGCTTCGGCGTCCTCGCCGCTGCATGCTACGACATCGCTGCCAATCGCAACATCCCGCGCGACCTGAATTTTTCTCGCATGGCCGCGTTGCTAAAAGGTGACGAGCCATCTGGCAATGCGGAGTGCACGCGCTCCCCTGATTGCCATCGTCTGCTATCAATGAAGAGCTCGGACGTGAAGCTGCTGGCGTCCGCCGCCAACCGCCAGCCCCATGTCCTTGCAGCCCAGACGTCCCCCGAACAACAGGGCTTCGTCAACGGCCGCCAGTTTTTGAACAACGTCGTCATCGTGGACGCCGCCGCGCCTCGACACAGCCTGTCCCCGTCAGTTTCCTCACACATGCCCGTCTTCGTCAGCATGGACATCGCAGCCGCGTTCCCCAGCCTCGGCCACCAGTGGATGTGGACCGTTCTCGCGCGCTGGGGCATCCACGGCCGCTTGATGCACCTGATCCAGGCATGCGACGTCTGGCCCGTCTCGTTCCTCGACTTGCGAGGAGAACGTCGTCCACTCCGGATCGCCGCATCGGGCGTTGCTCACGGATGGCCCCCGAGCGGCACGATCTGGGCGCTCGTCTTCGACCCCCTCATCATCGCCACCAGCCGTGAGCTCAACGCTATCCGCCGCGGGCCCATCAGCACCTGCGCTGACGACCTCGGCACCATCCTCGCCAGGCTAGCCGACATCAGCGCCCTCGCCCCCCACATGATCGCAGCCGAGACCCTTGCTGGCCTCCAACTCCCGGCCCAAAAGAAAGTGCATCGTCGCCCCGACTTGGGCCCTCCCATCGCAAGATCTCGTAGCCGAGATGCGACACGTCCTCGCGGCTGCCCGCGCCCCATGGTTCAATTTCAAGATTGAGTCCAAAGCCCGCTACCTTGGCTTCTTCGTGGGCCCTGGCGCCACGCTTGCTGACCAATGGCGCGACCCCGCAGTGAAATGGCGGGACCGCGTGGAGATGCTCACCGCTTCGCACGCCCCCATCCAGCAAAGCATCAAGCCGTGCAACGTCACCGCCGTCACGCGCCTGGGCTACGTCGGCCAGCCCTTCAAACCGCCCGAGGGCATCCTGCAGAAGGAACTGCAGGCCATCAAAAAGCTGCTGCGCGTCGCCCCATCCAGTTTCGCCAAGTCCGACGTCCTCGCGATGTCGCTCTGGACGAATGCGGAGGCCCCCATCGGATTCGAGAATTACCTTGCCGCCACTCTCTGGGGAACAGCGTCTACCACTGCGACAGAGTGGAGACGCGCACGCAGCGAACCCTGCGACACCGCTTACGACCAGCTTCCCATCACCACGGTACTGCAAGGCGCGCGGTGCAACGACTGCTGGGAGATCAAGGCCGCCATCGTCCAGCGCATCGAGGGCGTCATCAACTCCACCTTCTTCGTTGACTCTAAAGGATCACATCTCAAGCGCCTGACCCGCGCTGCTGGGCCCAGACCCCGTGCGCGAGCCGCAATGATCGCCAGCCGCAAGCGCGCCGCCAGAGCAGGACAGCAAGCCACCCTTCATCGCCATGCCCCATCTCCAACCTCAACAACCTGACCGCCTTCAACATCGCAACAATGCCAAGGCCGCGCCGCGGAAAGCCTACGTGAAGTCGTTGAACGAGCAGCTCTACATTGACACCATGCCTGACACCACCAAGCGCCGCCTGATCGCATGGCGCCCCGCGCTAGATCCCGCCCGCCAACTTACACGATAACCGCCATCTGGACCGCGACGCGAAGCTGAACGAGCCCGAGAGCGCCTTCTCAACAGGGCGCGCTCATTGGCCGCGCACTGGCTGCCTGGCCGCCCGTTGAACGACCGACTCATCAACGACCAAGACGACTGGAGGCATTGGTGCGTCACCCATTCGTACGAGCTGCTCGGCACCGACCTGCTCCAGCCGTTATACATTACCGACACACAACGTCGCCGCATCACCACCGACATGCGCAATCAAGCGTGGGCCACCAGCGGCCCTGGACGCATCCCCCTGGGGCGCCGCCTGTCCCGCACTGTGGCCCAGGGGGAGTCGACGCGCAGCCGTTCGCCCCGCAGCCGAACATCGTTGCTCAGCCACGAGGCTGCCCAACACCGTGCCCGACGCCGCTGGACATCCCGCGCCCTCCCGTTGCTGGAGCCCGGCGCCGGCCCGGGCGACATTCACCGCGACGACGACGACGACATGGGCGCTGAAGGCCCACCTGCCGACGCCGACGCACAGCGTGACCTCATTCAAGTTCAACAAGTTCCTGGTGATCCCCCCGCTCGGTGGATGCGCCTCCGCACCCACCTCGCGACGCTGCCGCCCTCCAGGCTGTGGAGCGCCCTGGAGGTCCTCACGGGCGCGTGGACGACTTCGCACTGGATGCGCGCGATCCCGACCGAGCGCCCATGCCATTTCGGGCGCCCGCACGCCGACGACAAGATCCAGCACTATTTAGTATGTGAAAGGATGTGGCACCAGCTGAGCTTACCGCGCGGCCAGCTGAGCTCCAACATCTTGACGAGGCTCGGCCTCCCCGAGCTGACCGAGCCGTTCCATGGCAAGAACGGCACCCCGAACAGCATCGCCAGGCTCTCCGTGGCCACCAGGGCGCACCACCTCCCGTTCGCCGAGCCGCGAAGCTGCCCGCAGATCTGTCGGGCGGGGTTGGCGCGCCGTCCTCTTCCTCCTCCTCCTCTTCCTCCTCCTGCTCCTCCCTTTCCTCCTCCTCCTCCTCCTCCTGCTGTTCCTCCTCCTCCTCCTCATCATCATCATCATCAGCATCAGCATCCTCATCCTCATCCTCATCCTCATCATCATCCTCCTTCTCTCCCCCTGTTCCTCCACCTCCTCTCCCTTGTCCTCCTCCTCCTTCTCCTCTTCCTCCTCCTCCTCATTCTTCTCATCCTCCTCCTCCTCCTCCTCCTCCTCCTCCTCCTCCTCCTCCTCCTCCCCCTCCTCCACCTCTTCCCCCTCTTCCTCCTCCGCCGCAGCGGTTGTGGTTCAAGCCGCTCAACAGCGAGCGACCGCCCTGTTGTTCAAGCTGGCTGGGCATGCCCCTTCCCGCCTGAAGTTGCGGGGCCCGCCCGCTGAGCTTGAGTACGCGGCGCGGGAGGGCGCGGGTGACGCGCGCCCAGCTCCGGATCGTCATGGCGTTCATCGCTCTGCGGCTGATCGAAAGGCTCGCCGTTGCTGGGCGCGCGCGCCGGCAGACAGAACGATCCTCAAGCTGTCTGACAAGGTGACCCGCCTCAAGGGTTGGGGCATGCTGACCAAGCTTTCGCTGGCGCCGGGCGTGTCTGGAGTGGCGACCGGGGTGTTAAACAGGCTGCTGGCGGCGGCGCCTGCTGTGGCTGTTTTGCTGGCGGGGCAGACGCCGACGACCTCGACGTCCTCAGGCGCAACACGGCGCTGCATTCGGCTGCAAAGCTCGACTATGTCACGGCCGCCCCGCGTGTCCATCTGCGCGCACAGCGCAGCCGGAGGCTCGGCGCGCGGCGTCGCCCAACTGGTCAGGACGGTGGTCGCCCGGCTGATGCTGGCGCGGGTCATTTTCGGCCGAAGCTCGCGGGTTTCATCGCCCCCACCGTGCACTTCTCCGAGTTGTGTTGTTGCGGTAGTTATTTCTCCTCCGCTTCCCCGTCAGTGGCGGCCAGCGACGATGGTTCTGGCCAGAAGGAGGCCGTGGGCGAGCTCAGGCGTCTCACATTTGGGTCCCGCCCCCCACGATTGATGGCCTTGTGGGTGAAGTTGGTTCTGCGTTTGACGATTCCGACGGCGACGGCGCGCTGTCCGTGCACGATGATGCTCGTCGCAACTAAGGACCATTGGCAGTCGGAGGCTTTCCCCGCGACAGTTCGACAGCCGTAAGCGGTCAGTGCGGCCCCGCGGCACGTCGTCCAGCTTCACCGAAGGTACCAGCTCTCACGCCCGTAACGATCAACATTCGCAGGTGCATGAAGCGGATTTGCAGGCACATGTGATGGTTGCATTGTTTGTGTGTCGTGTTCGTGCATTCCGTGTAGTTCTGCCCCTCCTTGTGGTGGCCGCCACTGTCGAGTACCACATCGTCTCGAACGACGTCGCCCTGTTGCCGAACCTCGTTTTTGCTTAGGCGGTGCACGTGGAAGTCGGACAGAGGCCGCTCCCCAGGTGGTTTGGGAGGCTTGCGCGCGTGTGCGTGGCTGATGTGGAAAATCCCCCTCCTTCCTCCTCCTCCTCCTCCTCCTCCTCCTTCCTCCTCCTCCTCCTCCTCCTCTTCCTCCTCCTCCTTCTCCTCCTCCTCCTCCTCCTCCTCTCCCTTCTCCTCCTCCTCCTCATCCTCCTGCTGTTCCTCCTCCCCCTCTTTCTCCTCCTCTTTCTCCTCCTCTTCCTCTTTCTCTCCTCCTCCTCTTTCTCCTCCTCCTCCTCCTCCTCCTCCTCCTCCTGCTGCCCCTCCACCTCCTTCTCCTCCTCCTTCTCCTTCTCTTCCTCCCTCCTCCTCCCTGGTTCCTGGTTCCTCTCGGCTATAGTGCTCGTCGAACGTCCCTCCTCCTCCTCCTCCTTCTCCTCCCCCTCCTTCCTCCTCCTCCTCCTCCTCCTCCTCCTCCTCCTCCTCCTCCTCCTCCTCCTCCTCCTCCTCCTCCTATCATCATCATGATCCTCCTCCTCCTGCTCATCCTCCTCCCGCTCATCCTCCTTCTCCTCCGCCTCCTCCCCTTTGCGAAACGCCCCCGTGTGCCGCCAGTAGGCTTCGGGAGACCCACCCCGAAGGTACGGCGAGGCCGAAGCGCTGCTCCTGAGGCTCGTCGCCGCGGGGCAGAGTTCGAAGGCGGGGCTGTCCGCGATCCGACCCGATCGGTCGCCTCGTCCGCGCTGCGGCGAGAGGAGGAGGAGGAGGAGGAGGAGGAGAAGGACGATAAGGAGGAGGAGGAGGAGGAGGAGGAGGAGCAGGAGGACGACGACTATGAGGAGGAGACGTGCTAGGACGAATCTGGGGAGGAGGAGGAGGAGGAGGAGGAGGAGGAGGAGGAAGAAGAAGAAGAAGACGACGATGATGAGGAGGAGGAGGAGAAAAACTATGAGGAGAAGAACAATTGTGAGGAGGACAAGGAGAGGGGGAGGACGAGGAATATGAGAGAAGCGCTAGGAGGAAGAGGAAGGCTACGAGGAGGAAGTAATAGGCACCAGCGCCATCAAAGTCGAGTCGAGGAGGAACCGAAGAGGAAACAAAGAGTTACAAACATAAACTTTCGGAGGCCCGCATGGGTTCCTGGAGCTGGACCCCCCTTGCGGCGCCTCTGGCGCCGTCCATTGCCAGTGCGTGGAGCCCCTCTCCATTCGCACAATCGGATATTGAAGAGGACAATGATCCCCAAAGGGCACGCGATGCAAAGCATGACATAGCATTGCGCAGTCAAGCATTGCATATCATCGCATTGCAGCGCACGACATGGTATCGCACAGCGGTGCATACAATAGCACTGCATGGCATAACATTGCAGAGCATGGCATTGCGAAGCCCAGCGCTGCGTATCGCAGCATTGCAGAGCAAGGCATGGACTCAAATACAACATAGACTTGAATTGCACACGATCGCTGCATGCATGAACGGTGCAACCGGAAAGCCAAGCTGGAGGAGGACCGAGAAATTGCAGATGAGGCCGGTGCTACAGCAGGAGCATCATCCGGAAGGACTGGCAACGCAGCAATGATGCCAGCGTTGCAGCGAGATCAAGGTTCTGAAGGACCAGAAGCGCGGAAGTGAGTCCAGCGTCGCAGCGGGAATACAGTTTTGAACGATCAGAGACGCAGAAATGAGGCCAGCGCCCTGCAGCGGGAGCACCACGTTGAAGGACTGGAGGCGATCGGATTGGAAACACACCTCAGAAATACCAATGTTTAAGATCTTGCGTGTAAGAAAATCTTGGGAGAGGGCGAACATCCCCCAGGCAGAGTCAGGAGGAGAGAGGAGAGTAGCATTCACAGCTTGTCATGGTCGAAGCGGAGGCGGTGAGGGGGAAGTGAAGGCGGAGGAGTACGGGGAAAGTAAAACATCGGAGGGGGAGTAGGAGCAACAGCAGGAGCAGCAGACGGAGGATGAGGAGGAGGCCCGACCAAGTCGAGGAAGCGCAAACATGGATGAAGGCGCGTGAGTTACGTAGCGACGGGTCCTGTTTCCGTGCAAGATCATTGCGCTCCGTCGCCAAATCAGGCGGCATTGGCGCCCATGTTTCGGGTGTTGTGTTCCCCGATCTGTGGATGTGGTGCCCATCCTAGACATGCGACGTCGTGCTTTTTTGCAACGTGGACCCTTGGAGGTCTGGACCCCATTCCCAGGGACCGGATTGTCGTCCTGAGTCGTTTGTGATGGCCTTGGGGCCAGGCAAGGGCCTCCGAAGGCCAGAAAGTGACAAAAAGTTGCCGTCGTGAGCCGACGCGAGAATGTCAGGTGCGCGACGTATACAGGGTAAATCTCTGATCCATGTTGGCGTGTGCCCGGCAGCAGGTCATCGGTCAAAGTCCGATCCTTGCGCCCCCACGGGAGGAGCCCGAGAGCATCGCGACTTTGGCCGCCTTGGGCAGGCTGGCGGTGCTCCTGACGCAGGCCCTTTCTCCTCCGCCTCCACTCTCCTCCTGCTCATTTTGCTTTTGCACCTTCACTTACTTCTCCTCTCATGTTGCGTCGACTCTTCCTCCCCCAGTTCACATTGGCCATGCATATACATCGTGGCGACTGCGTTCTTCCAGTGACAAAAAAGATTCCGACTTAGCGAAGCTTGAGGTTGTTGCCAGTGCGAGCACAAGAGGGCCCAGGATAAATAGGAAAATGATATGTGCCCCGAGGGCGCAGAAAAACTAAGCAGGCAGCCGATGGGAGTAGAGGAACCAAACCGTAACAACAGACGTAACATATTGGGAGGAACGCCGTGTAGCAGGAGACGAAATACATGTGCAATGAAGCTAAATGTTCGGTGCCGTATCTGAGCGATGAATAGTGGTTTAGCCGGCGACTGGGCAACCAGAAATGGCGAAAGCGTTTTTCAAGATGTCCACCCTCTCCCCATAGATCAATGACCTCCTGCCGTCCTGAAGTACAGAACAACTGGCCTATCAGCGGTGATAAGAACAGAGCAACAAAAAGCAGGCGACTGACGCATTGTACAGTTAGTATGTAGGCTGCAATGGGGATTGGATGGGCTAGGCCGGCCAGTCTGTGCGGGCTTGCCTTGTATTTGAGACGTGTGCACTGAGTCGTTACGAGTGTATCAAATGTGGAAGTATACTGTTGCTGGTAGTCCATACTGGGATTGGCCCTGGGGGGCTCGTCCCCTACTGACGTGCCAAAGTGTCCCCTAACAGCGATCCTAGATCTACAGCTGCGGTACAGTGAAGGTCCACACTTCAACAGTAGCAGTAGACGCAGAAGCATTATAGACGCCGTGAACAGCTCCTTGGGTGGCGCGGGGTCCTTGAGTTGGGGGGGGGGGCCGCCCACACAGACCCAAGGTGGGGTGGCTTAGGTCCTCCGTACCCTCCGAAATGTCATCTCCCCCCGACCCCTGAAGTAGCTACTGCGGCGTGAGCAGAGATAGGCGTGCACAGACTATACTTGTCAGTGCCTTTCATGGTGGCAGGCTGGCGCAGGCGGTACTGGCTTGCCTACTGTGTGGCGGTGCGAAACTGTCTCGTGGCTGATGGCTTGAGAGTACAATACAGTGTGAGGCTATGTCAGGCTGACTCTGTCGGTGCAGGTAGACCTGAGGCTACTGTATCACACAATGGTCCTCTTCACCCTCCTCACCGCAAGACCCTTCCTCTTAGTGAGCTAAATTATGCCGGCACGAATCTGAATGCACATTGGGAGAACAGCGGTTACAGCTTAAGAGGAGAATGAACTTGCATGGATGACGTGTGCCAGTATTGTGGGCACGATCTCCTGCCGATCAGGGGTGCCCGAGATAGTGGAATTACTCCAGCATGCCAGTACTATCCCGTGCACAGTACCCACCTCCACACGACAGCGCGCCATCTTAGCCAAAGCTTTGGCTTGTCTTGGAATTTAGCAGAATGGCCCCGGCGTTCAGGGAGGTAGTGACAGCAACGACAAGAAGTGAGGTGAAGAGCAAAGAAGCTGTATGGTTGGGATGATAAGGTGCCAAACAGCGGGCGACGCACACTGACCTATTCTGCTCTATGTTCGCCGTGCGCCCTGGCCTGCGCCTGATGGCAAAGCCATCTATTCCTACCGGTCCCCTAATCCTCCTCATCACAAGGCTTATAATATTCCAACCAACTTTAGCCTTGATCACCAGGAAGAATTTCGAGCACCAAAGAAGTACCGAAACTCGGGGGTTTTCACGTGTCGGGCCCTGGGAGACACTCGTTCGACACTCTTTCGACACTATTTTGGCACTCTTCTGGGTGCTCGAAATTATTTCTGGGATGTGGTCCTTCAGTACGATGGGAACAACATAACACAAGGCCCTTCCCAATTGTGCTTCAAAAAGTATGCCGGCAGGCATCTGAATGCAAATTGGGAGAACGCTGCAGCTTAAGAGGAAAGAGTGAGCTTACATGGATAATGCATGCTGCTGCCAGGCATCTGAATGCAAATTAGGGGAACAGTAGCTTCGCACTGGAGAACCACAGACAAGTTCTTACATGTATAACGTGCGCGAGCAATTCAAGGCCGACACCCTGCCACGGGGGGGGGCCCGAGATAGTGCATCTGTTCCCTCCCATACCACGCACCCTCACAGGCGCCATGCCCATAGTTGTTTAAAGTATGGCGCTGGCATCTGAATGCAGGTTGGGAGGACAATAGCTGCTTTTAGAAGAGGTAAGGAAGAGGCATTCGCGAGGGAAGCGGACCAACACTGTGTAGAGAACAGGGAAAAGGAAAAGGGACCGCAGGAGTGCAAGTATTTTGGGGACAAGGGTGAGACATGGATAGGCAGCCTCTCATGAGCCATAGTCCTAGTGGCCACTGTCGCACGAGAAGCAGCAGTTGTCGGCGATGTGAGGTCGTAGACAAGATGTGTCTGCCGTGCACGTCCAATCTATCTTCAGCATGGTGCGCGCCCTTGTCGGAGTGCCGGGAATTTGGGTTTGAGAGTCGGAGGAGTTTCATGTTGTGTTGTGTTCTCGTATGGACGGTTGCGAGCCGTTTTGGAGCTGGATGGTGCGTTTGGTTACGCTTTCTGGGCATTCCTCGTAGTGTTGCTGGTGGTTAGGGACCTTGTCCAGGTACCGATTCGGTAGTGGGTCGTCGATGCCTTCGGCGCGGAGCGTGTCGTACGTGCCGTCCTTTGTGGGTATCGGTGTAGAAACCAGTTGGCCATCATCCATTGGCGTAGTAGCTTGAGCTTGTGGCTGACGGTGTGTGGGTAGAAGGTCGGCACGCCAGAAGAATGGAGTAGTTTGTGTGTTTGGCGGCGGGCAGGCTGTAGAGCTTTTGAGTTGGGCTGTTGGCGGGTGTTGTGGTTTGCGGATCGTTGTGTGGTCTGGGTCGCGACTTTGTTCCGCGATTGGCGTCGTAGTCACAGCTTGTGTGTCGGTCGCCCGCGCCGCCTCTGATAAGGCGGCTCGATCAGTCGGATGAGGCGTGCGTGTTGTTGTATATGGTTGCAGTGTTGGTGTCTGCGCTGCTGACGTAGGAGCGTGATGTTGAAGGTGTTGCTTCGATGCTTACGGATTCTTGTGGAGGTGCCCCGTGGCCGTTGGTAATACAGAGCACCGCCGCCGTTCTGGATAAGTCCACTGCCCAGCCTCCTCCCATGAAAGTGCGTGGCCGTTGTGCCAAGAGTGTAATTGCCTTGGTAGTGCTGGCGTCTGGTGTTGTAGTGTGTAGCCTGAGCTTGTCGTGGACGTGCTGGTTGGCAAGAGCTGCGCCAATGCGGACGTCAAGGTCGTCACTGTATGTGCCTTGTTTGTCGTCGATCGTGGCTCCAAGTCTCAGTCTAGGTGCGGCTGCACGTCGTGGTGGTGATGGTGGTCAGTGTGGGTGTTGCTTTTCTGGTGCACTCGGGGATGAGTCGCGTGGCAGGCTCTGATGGCGACATCGTGAAGTGGGACAGTGGTATCGTCTAGAGGTCTGGTCATAAAGGTAGGTGGGGTAGCACGTGTGCGTAGTTGCCGTTGATCCTCCTCATTCTACTCCTATCCTGCTCTCTCGCCTCCACCTCCGCATCCTTCCCCCTCGTATGTCGGTTCCGATCTCCTCTCGTCCTCCTCTCCGTTTTCTGGCCGTCCACTTCTCGTGGATTGCTCCTCGTCCTGCTGGCTCTGGTATATACACGCTCGCCAGCCCTTTCCCCGCTCATTCTCTACTTCCGCCGCCTCCTCCTCCTTGTCGCGTTCCTTCTCCGCATCCTCATCCCTCACCCTGCCGCATCACCTTCCCCCCTCCCGCTCTCAAGCTTTCACCCCCAACCCCCCTTTCCCCTCCTCATCCTCCTCCTCCGTTCCAGCTGCGACAGGGACAAAGACAACAACAACGACGACGACAACGACGACGGCGGCGGCGGCAGCGGCCAGCTGCTGCGGCGGCGGCGACGACGACGGGCTGCCCAGGCGGGCCGCCACGCGGAGGCGGAGCCGCTGCACCGCCAGGCCTTGGAGGCGCACGAGCGCACGCTCGGCGCGGAGCACGCGGACACGCTGGGGTGCCTGAGCAACTTGGCGGAGGCGCACCGCTCGCGGTTGCGGCTCCCTGCCCGACGTTTTTACGGGACCCAAACAAACACACCACCACCACCACCATTTTTTTTTACCTCCCCCCCTTCCCAGGAAAGAGGACAGGAACAGGGGGGATAGGAGAGGGAGGAGGAATCGAGGTGGTAGTGGTGTTCATTCGTCGGCCCGCAGTTTTACGGTTGCTAGATCTGGATACAATGTTAGTCAGCATGGACCCCACGCAATGGTTCTTGGCATGGTGATGCAATCTGCGTGGTGAAAGTTGCGTTGTGCAAGCGTTAAGGTGCAATAGATGCCGTGCAGTCTTGTGGCGCCACCTATGTGGTGCAACTTGTGTGGTGCAATATGTGGTGCGCAATCTGCGTGGTACCGTCTATGCGGTGCAGTCTAAATTGTGCAATTAATATTTGACCGCCTTGAAGCTGTCCTCTCCACTGCTCGTGCAAACATCCCACCCTCCCACCCGCAACTTGGTCGCAAGACCTCTTAAGACAAGACCGTGACGGTACGTACCACATGACACTTGGCCACGACACCGAAGCCGACGACGACAGCGACAACGACGACGACGGCGCCGCCGACACCGACTACGACGACACCGACGACGTCTCCAACGACTTCGACGACGACAACGACGACACCGACGACGACGACGACCACGACGACGTCAACGATGTCGACAACGACGACGACGACGACGGCGACTACGACGACACCGACGACGTCTCCGACGACTTCGACGACGACAACGACGCCGACGACGACGAAGACGGCGACGACGACGACGACGACGTCGCCAACGAAAACGACGACGAGGGAGCAGCAAGGACGACGACGGCGACAACGACGACAACGACGACAACGACGAGGGAGGAGGGAGGACGGCGACGACGCGAACGACGAAGAAGGAGGAAGGACGGCGGCGCCGACGACGACAACGACGAGGGAGGAGGGAAGACGACGACGACAACGGCGACGATGACGACGGCGACGAAATAGGAGGGACAACGACGAGACGCCGACGACGGACGACGACGACGACGAGGGAGGAGGAGGAAGGACGACCACGGCGACAACGACGACGGAAACGACCACGACGCCAACGAGGACGACGACGACGAACACGACAGAGGACGACGTAGGCGACGACGACGACGACGACGCGGGAGGAGGGAGGACGGCGACGACGACGACGACACAAGAGCGCGCGCGCACGTTTTTGTTGAAAATCCGTGTTGCGAAACCTTGGGATGTTGTAGGTTGTTTGGACACACGGTTTTGAAATCCTTCCGAAACTGATGGGTTTTGAAGGATTTCGGCATACGCGCGCGACGACGCGCGCGTCTGCACTTCGTTTCATTTTTTGCAGAGGATTCTCGCGACGGCACACGCGCAAGGGCGTTCGACAGATTTCGACATGCGCGCGCGAAGCCCGTTTAATAGCACGTTGTGAACATATCGAAAAACCCATGGTTTTCTTAAGATTTCGCAAGAGCCCGCGCGGAAGCTTTTTTAGCAAACCAGTGTTGCGAAACCCTGTGTTTTCGTATGTTTTTTTTTGTTTTGAAATTCGATTGCGAAATCTTTCCGGCAGCGAAGGTTTTTGAAGGATTTCGGCATGCGCGCGCGACGACGCGCGCGTGCGCACTTCGTCCCGTTTTTTGCAAGGGATTCGCGAAAAAGTGCTATGTTAGAACAAAACATGTCACCGCATAGTGTTTTTGACTAGGGAACCTCAGGGGGGGAACCCGGCCCCCCTGGGATATTGTAAATTCATATTTGGGGTGGACATGTGGTCAGAATCATACATAGTTCACATACCCGAAAGGGGGAGTGATAACGCCAGGGGGGGGGTAGATCCTATTCTGTGCTTAGAAAAGAGAATCGATGTGGTGCAATGTATGTGGTGCAGTCTTTGTGGTGCAAGTTACGTGGTGCAATTGACGTTGACCCCTCCGCGCGCGACCACCTCCCATGCTCCTGCAACCATCCCACCCACCCATTCACCCACCCACCCACCCACCCGCAACTTGGTTTGCGAAACCCTTGCGGCGGCGATTGCGATGACTGCTTGGCGCTGGCTGGCCCATCGCTGCGGCCACGCTAGTGCGCGAAGGTTCGCGCTCAGCGCGACCAGCTAGTCGGGCGCGACCGACGTGACCGCGGAACGCTGACCGCTGGGGACTGCCGAGCGCGTCTCGCAAGCCGTGCCGACGCGCGGGCACGTCAGTGCGAGTCGGTATCTCGGGCGGGCGCGGTATCATGGCAACGTCGACGACGGCAGGCACGATGATGATGGTGTCCAGTTGTCGAAGTTGAAGATGTTGGAAGGATTCCGACAGTCGCGCGCGGCCGACGGGCGCGAGTGGCCCGCATGGTAGTATTCCAGAGGCTTACACAATTCTTCCGATCCCCGGAAAAAATGACGAATTCGACGGGTGAGGCCTTTTGTAGCCAGTTGTGGGCGCCCTTGGCGCGCGTCCAGGCTTTTGGCGAGTTTCTTGGGCGTCGTTGGCGGCGTGGGGAATCCCCTTCAGGTAGAAAGCTCAGGAGGTCCGTTGGACCTTTCTTGGTGCCTTGCGGGAGCTCTCTTGGACCATATTGGGCGCCTCTTCGGCTGTCCTGGGGCCATTTTGGAGGCTGCCTGGGCCATCTTGGGTTTGAGGCCAGTCATGGTAGTCCTCGTGGCGTCTGCAGTCGCGCTGGATATCTCGCAGTGCGCGTCCGAGCTCTGTGTGTGGTCATTGGGTGGGACATTGTGAGAGGCGAGAGGAAGAAATAGAGTTAAAAAAGGTTCGCACGCCCTTGACTGGTCTGTGGCCACGGGAGAAATATTATGTTTGATTGGTCACGGGGAGCTAGATGAGCAAAACGACTGCAAGGCCAAGAGCGAGCCCTGGAATTTGCGCAGGCTGATGGCACACTGGTTCGGGGCTGCATCTTAACCTCGGACCAAGGAGGCGCCCGCGGTGGCCATGCATGTTTGGACAGTGTAACGCAGGAGCTAATGTCACATGTGGTCATGCTCCGCCTGTTGGTGCGACTCATGAGCCTTCAGACCAGTTGGATGTGACCAGGAAGTTTGCAGGGCCATCTATGGTGTGGACGATCCGTGAGCAGAACCTTGTATCACATTGGCAGTTCCACATCTGGGACCGTGCCTGTTAAGTGCTACTTTCGCGAATGTGAGTGCGTGCGGTGCGTCTCTTAACCCACCTGCGCTCGCGGCATAACAGCAATTCTCGATATCTCGCGTAACCCCACCAGCGTAACCCCGCAGTGTCTATGTGGCCCCCGGCGCTACCCTGTGACATTGGGATCAGTGCCAGCAGACACAAGGGCCTCTCCCTGCGGCTGTCTTCCTTGGGAGGTTCTCTCGACGGCCCGGCGCCACCTCGGCTCGCACCCGTCGCCCCGCGCGTTGGATTACTCCGTGGTACGTCGAGCGAGTGGACGGCTGACCGTTGTGATTCAGAGTCTTTTTCGTGAGGCTGGTTTACGTGGTGGACTTACAAGACTCGTACTGACGACAGCGTTGGTGTGTCACGTTCGGCTCCCGCCGGATCGTTGACTTGTTTGGTGAGGACAAATTCGTCGGGGCGAAGGTTGCCGGGGACAAGTTCGCCGAGGACAAGCTTGGTGAGGGTCCCTCTTCGGCACGCGGGTCCGTCCTGTTTTTCCTTCTTTCGGCTCCCCGCCCGCTGCGCGTGTAGTGCCCCGTTTTCGGCCGCTGATGTTTAAGTCTCCGCTGGATTTTATTGACGGCGCGCGGCTCTTCCGCTTGCGCTCGCGAGCCAAAAAGTAGCCCCGCCAGCCCATCCAGAAACGACGCCCAGGCGAGCTGCCCTGATCAGAAATGTGGCGGAGCACGCAGTAGAGCAAAGGGCTTGGGAAACCGTCGTACCCCAAGAGTGACAGGATAAAGGAGGACTTGGAGGACGGGGGGAGGCGGAGAAGGGAGGAGGGAGGAGGAGGAGGAACAGGCGGATGAGGAAGAGGAGGAGGGGGAAGAGGAGGAGGAGGAGGAGGAGGAGGAGCAGGGATATCAGACGCCACGGTGAGGAGGAAGAGGAGAGGGCGAACCGAAAAACCAGAGGCCTCTTGGAGGCCTCCTGGGGCGATTTGGGTGTCTTCTGGCGGTCCCGGGTGCCTCCTGCGGCGTCTTAGGTGTTTATGCGGGGGTCTCTTGGGGCCTCCAGGGGGCCGGTTGGGGACCTCTTGGGGCCATATTTGGTCCTTCTTGGAGGCCATTCGGAAGCCCTGGAGACCTTCTGGGCACCATCATGGAGGATATCGATCAACGAGAGGGAGTCCCTAAAGAGCGCCCCCCCTCTGCAGCCCCAAGAGTTGCCTTTTGGGGCCCTCTTGGGCCACTCTTGGGTGCTTTCTTTGAGGGCCGTATTGGAGCAATGTTCGGCCTCTCTTGGGGCACTTTTGGACCATTTTGGAGCCAGCTTGAGGCTTCGGCCACGGGAACCCATCGGAAGCGGAAGGGCGAGAAGGCCCAAATCCCTGATTGTCCGTAGTTGTTTGAACGATTTGGTTTCTTGGGGGTCTCCTTGGGGATCTCCGTGGCCACTTGGACCCATCTTGGAGTCATCATGGGGCCTCCTTGGAAGCATCTTGGATGCCATCTTGAGCAAACTTGGACTATGTGACGCCATCTTGGACGCCATCGGAAAGCATCAGTGACCACCCTGGAGCCCCCATGGGCCAAACGCCTCCCACCTCTTCCTGTTCATCCTCCTCTTTTTCCTCCTCCTCCTCTTTTTCCTCCTCCTCCTCCTCCTCCTCCTCCTCCTCTTGCTCCTTCTCCTCCCCCTCCTTCTCCTTCTCCCTCCCTCCCTCCCCCTCTCCCTTCCTCCTTCCCTCCCTTCTCCCTCCCTCCCTCTCTCCCTCCCTCCCTCCTCCCTCCTTCTATCCTCATCCTCCTCATCATCAGCAACAGCAGCAGCATCCGCAGCATCTGCATAAGCATGAGCATCAGCATCGGCATTATCACCTTCAGCATCATCTCCAGCATCATCATCATCATCATCATCATCATCACCGCCATCATCACCGCCATCATCACCGTCGCCATCACCCTCACCATCACAATCGCCATCATCATCATCATCATCATCATCATCATCATCATCATCATCATCATCATCATCATCATCATAAGCATCATCATCACCACCATCATCATCATCATCATCATCATCATCTGCATCATCAGCATAATCATCATCATCGTAGTCATCATCATCATCGTCATCATCACCGTCATCATTGTCAACATCATCGTCATCATCATCATCATCATAATCGTCTTCATCATAATTATCATCATCATCATCATCGTCATCATCATCATCATCATCATCATCATCATCATCATCGTCGTCGCCAGTTCGGCACATCACTCACACTTTTTGTGGCCCCATTTGGGAGGTTCCACCGAATGTTCCAGTGGCACAGCCCGCACGCGGCCCCGCCATCCATTTCGACAATCCCCTCAAACACTTTGTGCCCTCATAGGGAGCTTCACCGAAGGTCCCATTGGCGCAGCCCGCATCCGTCCGCCCCAACAATGCCGGCACACCCCTCACACGCTTCGTGGCCCCACAGGAAGCTCCACCGAAAGCCCCACTGGCGCAGCCCGCATTCGCCCGCCTCTCCCTTTTGGGCACGACAACACACATTTCGTGGCCCCACAGGGAGCTCCACCGAAGGTCCCAGTGGCGCAAGCCGCATGCCTCCGCCCCACCCATTTCGGCAGCAGCGCAGCTCGCATGCGTCCCCCGCCACCCATTTCGGCATACCCCTCACACGTTTCGTGGCCCCGTAAGGAGCTCCACTTAAGGCAATATTCACAACGAGGGTATTCACAACTGCTCATGGTTGGGCCCTTCGCCAGGATACTTGTTCTCGTTGCGGGTGCACTGCCCCTGTCGACCCCCCAAAACCTCTTAGGGTTTTGTAGGGAGAGCCGAAAAGGTCGCGAGAATTTGTCACGGATTCAGCGGGGGTTGCACTCCAGTCGGCGGGCCTCGACGGTTGTGGCAGCCTGCGACGGAGGCAGTGTGAGGCGGGAGGCTGTCCTCCGCACCCCTTGTCGCGTTCTGGCGTTCCTCGGAGGTTTCCCAGGTAGGCTCCCACCGTCTGTGGGCGTCAAGAAACTCAAGGGAACTAAACTCTCTATCCCTACTCGTTCCCGCTCCCTGAGATCCGACGTTGCGAACAAATGCAGCATCGCGGCAAATCACGACACGAGCCCTAGACCTCAGATTCTTGCTGCATGCCTCGGGCCAGATCGATCTGCGGTGTGGTAAAATTGCTACGCCCAGATCTCAGGGTTTCCGATTCCCCCCCTTCCGAAGCAGCCTTGGGAAGGCGCTGCGCCAGGCGGGGAAGGCCGACGAGGCCGAGCTTCTGCTGCGCCGGGCGCTGGAGGCCAAGGACCGAGGAAAGCCGAGAAGCTTTGTGCAGTGCGGCGGGCGGCCGCGTCTGATGCTGCTCCCCCGCCTTCTCCTCCTGCTGCTGCCCCTCGCTCTCAGGTCCTCGTCGTTTTCGTCCTCGCCCTCCGCGTCCTCCCCCACCATCGTTGCCCGCTGCAGTCCTGGTCATTGCCTTCGTCCTCCTACTCCCCATGTCCCTCTCCTCGTCATCGTTGTTGTCCTCCTCTTTCATGTCCCCTGCTGCTCCTACTTCCTCCCCTCCACATGTTCCTTAACCGTCCTTCCTCATACCCCTCATCCCCCTTCCTCCTCCTCCTCCTCCTCCTCCTCCTCCTCCTCCTCCTCCTCCTCCTCCTCTCCTCCTCCTCCTGCTCCACTCCGCCTCCTCCTCCCTCCTCTCCTTACTCCAATCCCTCAGTCCGATATTCCTATTTATCTCACTCTTCCTTGCCGTACTCAGCCTCCTCCCTAGTAAATTCCTTTGTCGACGCTCCCCCGTACTCCTACACACTCATGTTACACTCATCATCCTGTCCCTCCTGTTTATCCTCATCACCATCACCATCACCATCACACGAATCCCAGTTGTTTTCAAGAACTCTTTCCTTCCCTCTCTCCAGGATCAGTCGATGTCGCGTTCAAGTCTCATCCATCATCTGCATGGGGGGGGTATAGCCGCAGGGTGTCGCCCCCCCCCCAGCATTTGTAGCAGCAATTTCGTTCACTGTCGCTGGCTCGCGCTGTAGGGCTGCGTACGGGTAAGCACACGTCGATGGGTAGCTTCGCACATCCTCGTCCTACCTCTCCTCCCCAAGCCCATCATACTTCTAGTCCTCCTCATCTTCGTTTCCCCCGCCCTCGTCCTTCTCGTCCTTCTCCTCCCTCTCCTGACTCACTCATCCCTCTTCGTTCCTCCCTCTCCCCCCTTCCGTCCTCCTCCTCCCTCCTCTTTCCTCTAGCCACCAGCACACACACACACACACACACACGCACACACACTGGATGGAGGAGCGCAGGGGGGAGGGGAAGCGCGACGTCGACTGGTCCTGGAGAGAGGGATCGAAACTTGGAGAAGGAGTGGGATGATGGTGATTGTGATGAGGAGGAGGACGAAGACGAGGAGGACGAGGAGGTGGAGGAGGAGGAGGACCCCCCGCCTCGGCACCACGAGGAGGTGGAGGAGGAGGAGGAGGGAGAAGAGGACGAGGAAGAGGACGAGGAGGAGGAGGCGGAGGAGGAGGAGAAGGAGGAGGAGGAGGAGGAGCGGTTCGCCGCGCAGTTTTTGGAGCCTCCCGAGGAGCGAATGCTCGGCGCGGACCACCCGAGGACGCTGGCGTCCGTCAACAACCTCGCCGGCCTCCTGAGGGCGGCGGGCAGGGACGAGGAGGCGGAGCCTCGCCGCTGAGGGAGAGGAGCAGGGGAGGAGGAGGGAGGAAGAAGCCGATCACGAGGAGGAGGAGGTGGAGGAGGAAAAGGAGGAGGCGGAGGAAGGTGGAGGAGGACGAGGAGGAGGAGGAGGTTGAGGAGGAAGAGGAGGAGGTGGAGGAGGAGGATAAAGAGGAAAAAAACGATCATGAGGAGGTGGAGGAGGAAGAGGAGGAGGTGGAGGATGTGGTGGTGTCTGCAGCGATGGCCTTGCTGCCACAAGTTCGAGCGGTTCTCCGCCGCATTTCTCGCCGACGGGGGCGGGTCGGACGGACCACGTGAGCTCTTGCGGGTGCGCTCCAGCAGGAGGATGTGGTGGAGCAGGAGCAGGAGCAGCAGGAGCCGAGAGAGGAGAAGGAGGAGGAGAAGGGGGAGGAGGATCTGAGTGGCCCCGCAACCTCTCCTCCTCTCGACGGCCTCAGATTACAGGTGGTAGATGTGCATGGTGGTGGACTGCCCTCATTCCTGCCCCCCCTCTGGAAAGAGAGGGCCGCCCCGGCCCCGCTCGCGCGCGCGCGGCGGGCGCGGAGTTTGGGAACCGCGTTCAGCGGCTGCGGAGAGAGGAGGAATATCACAAGCTAGAGGTGGGACCCGCTGTTTGCTCAAAGCGCACAGGCGCAGCACGGGCCGTATAATTTCAGACGGTGGTTTTGCAACGGTTCGGAGGCAGAGAATTGTTGCGCTGAGTTGCCAGCACGCCTCGAGCAATTGCGACGGCGACGAAGTGTTTGATATAGGCTCCCCCATTGTGGGCTCGTTCTTTCTGCTCTGATTGGGGGAGGGGTGGATCACTTTAGCAGAATGCGTCCCAGACATGAAACAGAAGAGACTTCGCCCGCAGCACCGGCAACATTGGTTGGTCGTTGATGCCCGCGGCAATTCGCATAGCATGGCTCAGAAAACACATGGTTGTAGAATCCCGCCTTCGAGACAAGCTACACATGTTTTCAATGCGTGCATGCACCAGCCTCTCTCGCTCATGTCAACCACCAAGAAGCATCGTGGAGTGTAGGCTGGGCCTCATCGAGAGCAAGTGCTCTGCACTGGGAAGCCAGCGACACAGCACATATGCCCTCAGGATCTGCGGGGCCATTGCCCAGGAGGAGGGGCGATATACCTTCAAACAACTACTGCGTTGAGTGTCCGAACCGATCACGAGGTCAGCCAGCGCGAATGGCGGACCCCAGAAGAAACATCACAAGGTTCATCGTTCATGGCTCCAAGAGTGCGCTCTACGCATGCCGAACATAGCAGAGTTGGAAATCCTCCGCACGTCGCTCAGGCAGCGCGCACACGGATCCCCTCCCGCCCAACGCCACCTGTGAAGAAGAAAACGCTTGGACGTCGTCTGCCGAGCCAGCTTCACGGCATCACAAAGTAATTGGACAAGACATTTGGGACCCTATCGAACTATATATGGTCGAGGGTTTAGCCCCCCCCAATGCTAATGCCATCGGCCCCCCCCCCCCCGCGCGATGCCCTCCCCCCCCCCCTGTGGGCGTGGGCGTGGCGTGGTGGCTCCCCTCCTCCCCCCCTGTGGATTGGTGTGGGTGTGGTGTGTTGCTGTGGGTGTGTGCGGGGTGACGCCATGGTCCTCTTCCCCCCCGCCCTCCCCCTCTGTGGGTGCGGTGTGGGTGCGGCGTGCGGCTGGGATTGGCGTCATGTTGACAGCTCCGGTGCTCGACGTCGTCGCCGCCGCCGCTGGTGGTGCCGTCGACGTCGTCGTCGTTGTCGCCGTCGTCATTGTCGTCGTCGTTGTTGTCGGTGTCGTCGTCGTCGTCGTCGTCGTCGTCGTCGTCGTCGTCGTCGTCATTGCCCTCCTCCTCCTCTCCTCCTCCTCCTCCTCCTCGTCCCCCTCCCCCTCCCCCCCCTCCTCCTCCTCCTCCTCCTCCTCCTCCTCCTCCTCCTCCTCCTCCTCCTCCTCCTCCTCCTCCTCCCCACCCCACCCCCCATCCCATCTGGGGGGGGGGCCCGAGGACCCTGGGACCCATCCCATCTTGGGGGGGGGGGCCGAGGACCCTGAGCCCGCGATCATATATCACAACGTCGCCAACCCGGGCAAGATCGATGCGCACGAAAGTTGCCATGTAAAAAAGCCGATCCCACAGACGAGAAGGTCATGAGATCCCGACGCGGATTCGGCCCGCCCAGCCCTCCCAAAAGTACATTCCGACGTCAGTTGCGGAAGGCGGGGTCACGGTGCTTGGTGTGCTCGGTTGAGGAGATGAGCTGTTCGTTTCTGGGGGAGCACCCCTGGCATTCTTGGAGTTACGCTATCCGTTTGTGGTCCATGTTGCGCCAAAAGCCTTTCGGCTTCACTCGATCTAGGGCTAAAACTGGAGTCGACCTGGATCCGAACAGATGCACCAGGTGCGCCCCAGGAAGGTCCCCAAAACGGACATCTGCAAAAAAGGTGTTGGGCGGCCTCGTCCGAGCCCCCGACATGGACGCCCCTCGAAGCAATGCCCCGCATCCGCGACGATGCCTTCCGTGCGGTCCTCCAGAGCCCCGCGTCCGAGGCACCGCGTGGAACGGGGAGGGGGGGGGACTGTTCGCTCGCTCAACGTCGGCATGGGAATGATCCGCGCTCGTCCATACATGATGCAAGCCATGCACACACACACACACACCCACGCGCACGCACGCACGCACGCACGCGCACACACACACACACACACACACACACACACACACACACACACCACACCCACACCCACACCCACACCCACACCCACACCAACCCCCCACCCACCCCCCCCCACCCCCCCACCCCCCACACCACACACACACACACACACACGCACACACACACACACACACACACACACACACGCGCAAACGGAGACACACGGAGACACAATTGAAACATCAAAACCGTTGGAGGGGATTACTCGACGCGAGGATCCCCATATGTGCATCCCGCGCCCTAACACTGTCCCGTATGAGTGTCGGGGTGTGAGTGTTTGGGTGCGCGTGTGAGTCCGAGTGGAGAACGGGCACGACGACGACGACGACGACGACGACGACGACGACGACGACGGCGGCGTCTACGATGAGGGGACGACTTCGACAATTCACAAACAGACATGCGCTGAGCAGGCCCACTTCCCCTCTCCTTCCTTTTTGTCGTCGTAGCGCCTCCCTCATCTGCCTCCCTCATCGCTTCTCCCTCCTCCTGCCTCCTCCTCATTCCTCCTCCGTCCTCCCTCTTTCTCTCTGGCGGCCGTCATTCTGGCTCCTTCTGCGTCCTCTTCACTCCTCCTCCTCCACCTCCTCCTCCTCCTCCTCGTCCTCTCTTCTCATCCGTCCTCCTTTCTACTCCTCCCTGGCAAGTGCCCCCCTCCTTGGCGACTTCATCCCCTCTCCTCTTCCTCTTACTTCTCGCCATAGCTCCTCCCTCCTCCCTCTTCCTTGCTGTTGTGGCCTCCCTCCTCCTTCCTAGTGGAGAACGCGCGCCTCGCTCGAGGCATCCCCACAATCTGGCCGCGAACGGGCGAGCGTCTTAACCCTGGCGGCTCCCCGTCGCGGTGCCGAAGCCAGCGTTTCGCCCGAGACATCCTCACAATGCGCTTTGAAAGCAGAGGGGTCTGAGCCACCAAGCGAGCGAACCGCTCGAGACGTCCCCACAATTCTGGCCGCGAACGGGCAAGCGTCCCCCTCCATGGCCCCACTTGAGGTGCTAACGCCAGCACCTCGCTCAAGACGTGCTCACAACCTGCTCACCGAGGCACCAACCGATCGAGGGGCCAAACGATCGAACCGTTCGAGACATCCCCACAGTCCGGCCGCGAACGGGCGAGTGTCCCCACCCCTGGCTGCTGTCCCATGGGGTGCTCACATGCCACCAACAAAGGCAAATCGCCTCGAGGCGAACGGGCGAGTGTCCCCATCCCTGGCGGCTCCCCTTTGGAGTGTTGAAACCAGCGCCTCGCTCGAGGCATCCTCACGATCTGCCCTGAAAGCGAGGAAGTCCAAGCCACCAAACAGGCAAGCCTCCTGAGACATCCCCGCACTTCGGCTGCGAACGGGCGAGTGCTCCCACCCCTGGCGGCTCCCCGACGTCTTCACAAGTTGAGTCTGATTCGAGCCTGAGTGTGAGTGGTCTGTATGGTTGAGTCTGAGTGTGAGTGCATTTGAGTATGAGTGAGCCTGAGTGTAGAGTCTGAGTACTGGTGAGTCTGAGTCTGAGTCTGAGTGTGAGTGAGTCTGAGTGCGAGCGAGTTTGAGTGTGAGCGACCCTGAGTCTGATCAGAGGGGGGAAGGATGCGCGTGGGGAGGCAGATGCGTCCCGGTAACAAAAAGAACCTCACACTTAGGATAGAGGGGATACAGGGAGAAAGTTCGGCACCGAGCCTCGGATGGTCGACCAGGCATCGATGGGGAAGGGGGACGGAGGGAGGATTGGATGGAAAGGGCGACGGGAGGAGGCGGGGGCGAAAGGCGGGAGGGAGGAGGAGGAGGAACAAATGGACGCAGGAGGGCAAGGAGGCCTGCTGCGATGAGGCCCTTACAGCCGGATTTCTCATCGCATGTGTTTCCTGGAGCTGTGCGCAGGTCGCCCGCATGAGTGCACGCGCGTTTCAGGGTCAGCGAAACAGTTGGCCGTGTAGACGTGGGCAGCCGTTACACATCCTGATCCACACCACGAAACTTGTGCAGGCGGGGGGGGCAGTCCGGCCAATTTTGCACACGGCAGTTTGCTGGCATTACACATGTCCCGAGCCGAATATAGTGGAATACATGCGTAGTACAGGATAGATGATTTTGGAACAGCTTAGGGCAGGGCGCCATCATGTCCCTGCCGTCTAAGCGAACTCGGGTTCCTTGAGTTTCGGGTTGCCGGCCGCGCGCATGAGCAGCATACTGCTGGGCCGAAGAGTGCCACCCCGATATCGGCCTACACATGAAACGATCCGTGTCAACCCGTGCTTGGGACCAACGTGCGAGCTGTGCGGCGAGCAG